GCAAAAATGAACTATTGGGACTTCATCAAAATCAAAAGCTTTTGCACAGCAAAGGAAACAGTCAACGAAACCAAAAGACAACTGACAAAATGGTAGAAGATACTCACAAATGACCTATCAGATAAAGGGCGAGTATCCAAAATCCCTAAAGAACTTATCAAACTCAACACCTAAAGAACAAATAATCCAATCAAGAAATGGGCAGAAGACACGAACAGACATTTCAGCAAAGAAGACAGCCAAATGGCCAACAGACACATGAAAAAGTGCTCAACATCACTCGCCATCAGGAAACACAAATCAAAACCACGAGATAACACCTCACACCAGTCAGAATGGCTAAAATGAACAAGTCATGAAACGAGAGGTGTTGGTGAGGACACAGAGAAAGGGGAACCCTCTTACTCTGTTGGTGGGAATGCAAGCTGGTGCAACCACTTTAGAAAACAGTATGGAGGTTTCTCAAAAAGTTGAAAATAGAGCTACTCTGCAACCCAGCAATCGCACTACTGGGTATTTACCACAAAGATACAAATGTAGTGATCCAAAGGGGCATGTGCACCTGAATGTTTATAGCAGCAATGTCCACAATAGCCAGTCTATGGAAAGAACCTAGAAGCCCATCAACAGATGAATGGATAAAGCAAATGTGGTATATATCTACATTGGAGTATTATGCAGCCATCAAAAAAAGACATCTTGCCATTTGCAATGATGGGGATGAAACTAGAGGGTATTATGCTAGGTGAAATACGTCAATTAGAGAAAGACAATTATCACATGATCTCATTGATACGAGGAATTTGAGAAACAAGACAGAAGATCATAGGGAAAAGGAGGGAAAGATGAAACAAGACGAAACCAGAGAGGGAGATAAGCCATAAGAGACTCTTAATCTCAGGAAACAGAGGGTTGCTGGAGTGGAGGGAGGTGGGAGGGATGGGGTGGCTGGGGGATGGACACTGGGGAGGGTATGTGTTATGGTGAGCGCTGTGAATTGTGTAAGACTGACGAACCACAGACCTATACCCCTGAAACAATACATTGTATATTAATTTTTTTTTAAGATTTTATTTATTTATTTGACAGAGATCACAAGTAGGCAGAGGGGCAGGCAGAGAGAGAGAGGAGGAAGCAGGCTCCCTGTGGAGTAGAGAGCCCGATGTGGAGCTCAATCCCAGGACCCTGGGATCATGACCTGAGCTGAAGGCAGAGGCTTTAACCCACTGAGCCACCCAGGCGCCCCATTGTATATTAAAATTTTTTAAAAAGGAACCATCAGTCACTGGGCTACTGGGTAAGAATACAACTTTCACAGAGACTCTGGATGTGTGGGTGCATATACACACATACCATGTGTATTCTATATACACATCCACTCATATCTCCCATCAGAGATTATATAATCCCTTTTGCACTGGCCAAAAAAATCTACTGTCAGGAAAGTCAATGTGAATAAAAAATGTGATTAAGATAAAAGCCACAAACAAAACATAAGAAAAGCTTCCAAACATATGAAAATATACTTAAACTCACTTGTGGTTCAGAACAAACCCAAGTCCTGCCCATGGCTGCCGCCAAGTAAGCATCATTGAAGTCTCCCGTCCCACTCCCATCATGTCTAAGTCACAGTCTCTCAAAGAGCCTGAACGGCTGTGGAAGCTCTTCATCAGAGGTCTGAGCCTTGAAACAACCAATGAGAATCTGAGGAGCCATTCTGAGCACTGGGGACTGTGTGGTGATGACAGACCCCAACACTAAGCACTCTAGACGCTCTGGGTTTGTCGCATACTCCCCTGTAGAGAAGGTGGAGGCAGCCATGAACGCAAGGCCGCCCAAGCTGGACGGAAGAGTTGTGGAACCAAAGAGGGCTGGCTCAAGAGAAGATTCTCAGAGACCTGGTGCCCACTTAACTGGGAAAACAATTTTTCTTGGTGGCATTAAAGATGACACTGAAGATCATCATCTAAGACATTATTTTGAACAGTATGGGAAAAGCGAAGTGATGGAGATCATGACTGACTGAGGCAGTGGCAAAAAGAGGGATTTTGCTTTTGTAACAGTTGATGACCAGGACTCTGTAGACAAGACTGTCATTCAAAAATACCACACTGTGAACAGCCACAACTGGGGAGTAAGGAAAGGCCTATGTAAGCAAAAGATGGCTACTGCTTCATCCAGCCAAACTGGTCCAAGTGGTTCTGGAAACTTTGCTGGTGGATATGGAGGTGGTTTTGCTAGGAATGACAGCTTCGGTTGTCGAGGGAACTTCAGTGATCGAGGTGGCTTTGGTTGCGGTTGAGGTAGTGGTAAACAGGGTGGCAGTGCGGATGGCTAGAACGGATTTGGTAATGATGGAAGCAACCTCGGAGGTGGTGGAAGCTATAATGATTGCGGCAATTACAACAATCAATCCTCAAATTCTGGACCCATGAAAGGAGGAAATTTGGGAGGCAGAAGCTCTGGCACCAAAGGTGGAGGCCAACACTTTGCCAAACCATGAAACCAAGGTGGCTACGGTGGTTCCAGTAGCAGCAGTAGCTACAGCAGTGGCAGATTTTTGTTTGTTTTTCTTTTAAGATTTTATTTACTTATTTGAGAGAGATCACAAGTAGGTAGGCAGACAGAGAGGGGGAAGCAGGCTCCCTGCTGACCAGAGAGACTGATGTGGGGCTTGATCCCAGGACCCTGAGATCATGACCTGGGCCGAAGGCAGAAGCTTAACACACTAAGCCACCCAGGTGCCCCAGCAGAAGGTTTTAATTACTGCCAGTAAATGAAGCTTAGCAGGAGAGGAGAGCCAGAGAAACAAGGAAGCTACAGGTTACAAATGATTCCTGAACTCAGCCAAGCACAGTGGTGGCAGGGCCAAGCTGCTACAAAGAAGACATGTTAGAGGATACTCACGTGTACGGGGCAAACAACTCCAGGACTGTATTTGTGACTAACTGTATAACGGGTTACTTTAGTTTCTGTTCTTTGGAAAGTGTAAAGCATTCCAATAAAGGATTTTAATGTAGTATATATATTTTTTGCATCCATGCTGCTAAATATAATAGTCTGATCATGACCCTGAATAAATGTATTTTTTCTTAAATGTGCTGTGTAAAGTCAGTCTACTCTGAAGCCGTCTTGGTACACTTTCCCAACATTGTGAAGTTCAAATTCCTTCAGGGTGATGCCAGGTTCCATTCGAAATTTATCTGCAACCTGCTTGGGCACAGAAGCCACGGTCTCCCCAAACCTTGGTGCAGTTGAACTGACAATGTGTTGTGACCTGGAGTTCACATTAAAAGGGTCACCCAAGCAAAGTCCTGGAGTTTGTTTGGTTATTTAATATGATTGTTGGCACATCCTAGGCAATATATCTAAATTGAATAATGGTATCAGATAAAATTATAGATGGATTAAAGCTTGTATAACACCCATTATCATGTGTAATCAATAAAGGACTTAATATTCTCTTGAGTGTGGTGGGGGGAGGGGCGGGGGGGGGGCTAAGAAAAGAACAAACCCAACCCCACCAACGCAGTATGGGCCTACGATCAGCTAGAACACCCCAGGCCGCATTCCTTCTCTGCCTGTTGTCTCACTAACAAGCCAGGGCCCCTTGACTGCCCCCGCCCACCCCAGCCTTGCATTTCCTGACACTCAGGGAGCCTCTGAAGTGCTTTTTCATATGGGGACAAAATTATGTGATTCAGTTTTGGAGAAATGCTCAACGCGGAAAATACACTTGAGCCCGTGGAGGAAAGGAGCACAGAAAGGAAGTTTCTATAATGGTCCACAGATGAAAAGAATGAGCTATTTTAATGGCAGCATGGAGGAGACGAAGAGGAAGGGACAGAAGCCACTTAGAACACAACAACAGGAATATGCACATATAACACAGGATGCAGACTGAGAGGAGAATGAATCCCATTGTTCGGGACAGAGTGATGGGCTAGACAATGGAACAGAGAGAGGATGGGGAAGGAGAGCAGAAGGCATAGGTGGGGGGGGGCTGCAAATAATTACTTTTGAATCTACTAGGTCTATTAAGGTGACTCGAGACACCCTCCCCGGAAGCCCTGGCACCTGGTCCACGTGGGAGAACAGATAGAGCTAGTGTTCAGAGGATGTGAGGGGGAGGTCTGCCAGGTGTAAAAGTCAGCGGGTCGGGGGACATGACAACACATGAAGAGGGCAGAGGAAGCAGTCACAAAGAGACAGGAGAAACTCGTCAGAGATGCCAACAGACCACCTCTGCAGACAGGAAAGGTGGCAAGTGGTCCAACCCAAGGACTGGCTCCCAGCTTAACCTTTACCGGGTCAGGTTCCAGAGGGACAGGGGCAGACCCGGAAGTGCCGTTTGGGATACAACGTGAGTGGGAAATCAGCAATCTGTCCCAGAGGTGTCACCGCCCAGTCTGAGATGCAAACCAGACAGATTATCAGAGAACTAGTTAGCAAGACTCCCTGGAGGGTGGAAAGGCCATTCCTCCAGAGCTCCCTCACCCTCCCCTTGAATCGAGCAGTAAAAACGATGCATTTATGGGGCAATGTTTTAGTTACCAGAGAAATTATATGCACTGGGTGCTCCCTGGACAGTATGCCTTGCCTCCAGGAGGCACAAGTGAGATACCAATAGCCATAGTTTGGGGATGGCCACTCAGGAAGCCTGTTCACCATTACAACAACCCGGCCCAAGAAATCACAAGACACGCGAGAAAACAAAACTATTTTTTGGTACATCAGTGTAAGTCAAGTACTGAATGTATTTGTCACATTTTGCAACGAATGTCAACTGAACTCTGGCTTCAAGGGCTCTGAAGGATCCTGCTGTCCACACAGATGAACGTGACAGACGTGCTTGGGGCCCCGCTACTATTCCACGCTTTGTCCGCCCACACCTTTTTTGTTTTTATCTCCCCATTCCCACTTTAAAGTCTGAACTACTCACGTCCTAACGTCTACTGTAAGTGCCAGTGGGGAATAAAGACATACACAGAAATACTCACCAAAGATTTACTCATTTTCTGCCGATCTTGGAAAAACAGGAAGGACAGTGAAAGCGGAGGCAGACCTGGGGAAAGAAAAGACAAGCAATGAAACTAAGTGAGATCTGGACTGCCGAGGAAGTGGGGGGAGTACTCTCCTGGAAAGTTCCACGAAGGAAACTGCGACACTGTCCCTTTAAATCTTCAGAAATGACCAAAAGAATGTGGGCGCACCCACCTGTCTGTAACTCCCACCTGATTGGTATGTAGTTCCTTAACTAACAAACCTGAATCCTATTGAAATAATCCTCCATCATTAAAAGTAACATAAAACAAAATCTGTTACACTCTTCTATCTTCTCACTACCCCTTTTAACTACTTAAGAACAGAACGGGATGCTCTGAGGAAAGAGATGCGCTCAGGCATGGCTGTCTTCAAATCATTTGTACAAACTGCAAAGTGCCCCTCAAAAGGGTCTTTTATTAAGAAACTCATTTTGACTTAAATGTAACAAAACAGAATCCAGGTCCAGGAGGTGAGTCCTGCGAGCAAGCCCACCCCCAGACCCCGTCAACGTGGACAAGCCCCTTCCCTTCTCAGGCCCAGTCTTCTCCGGTCAACTCCTCCTCGCACACTGGTCCTGCCCTACACTGGGGGATACCCCAGGGCACAACCCAGCGGGGTCAGCACACGCTCTTGCGCGCTTACAGACCCGTCTAGAACTGGACAGAGAACCGGGGGAGCAAGGAGTGCCGGGGTGGAGGGGAGAGGGGAACTCCCTGCGCCCCCAGGAAACGTGAGTCCCACGAGTCCCGAGTCCCGGGGGAGCGCCCATCCCCAGGTCCAGCCGCCCGCAAGACCCAAAAGCGCACGACCTACCCCGTCGGGACACGCCGAGCTGCTCCGAGGCTCCCGAGGACTCCGGGGCGGGGGTGGCTCCTCCGCCTCCCGGGGCCGCCGTTCTCGGTGAGCCGGCTCTGGGCCTACGAGACAAACTCACTTTGTGCCGACGACCCTCCCGGGGCCCGATTCGGTCTCCAGGGGCCTCGCCGTCCCGCGGGAGCAGACGGGCCGGGCCGGGGCCTCGCCGCCCTGCGCCGTCGCCGCCGCCACCGCCCGGCCCCTCCGGCCCAGCCCCCGGGCTCCGGGGCTCGCGCTCGGGGGTCCCCGCTCGAGCCTCCGCGCGGACCCGCGCCCGCACAGCCCCACGCTCGCTGGGTGCCGGCCGGCTGGACGGCCTGCAGCCCCTCGGGCTCTGGGACGCTCGCCCGCCGGAGGCCGAAGCCTGGGAACCACGGCGAGCGGTGACCGGAGCTCGGACAGGAAGCGAGAGCTGCGCAGCGGCACTACGCGTGCGCGAACACGCACACAGGCCGAGCGGCACATGCGCAGGACGGCGGCGGCAGTGCGCCTACTGGAGCCCACTCGGGAGCCCAACAAATACCCGACCTCTGTTTCCCGTGAGTCCAAGCGCCCACAAGTTAGGGGACGTCTCGAAAAAGCCACACTTAAAAAGAAAAAGGCAGGGGCGCCTGGGTTGCTCAGTGGTTAAAGCCTCTGCCTTCGGCTCAGGTCGTGATCTCAGGGTCCTCTGATGGAGTCCCGCATCGGGCTCTCTGCTCAGCAGGAGCCTGCTTCCTCCTCCTGTCTCTCTCTGCCTGCCTCTCTGCCTACTTGTGATCTGTCAAATTAAAAAAAAAAAAAAAAAAACTTTAAAAAGAAAAAGGCAAGGGGAGGGGAGGGAAAGGTAGGGAAAGGGAAGTAAAAGGGAAGGGAAGGGAAGGAAAGGAAAAGAGAAAAAAAGAAAGGAAAAAACTGAAAAGAAAAAGACAATCCCGCCTTATCTAGGGTGAGAGTAGCGGTAGAGGGTATGTGGCTGCCTGTTGAGGGAGAAGCTGAGAGAACGGGAGTAGCTACTGAGACAGGTGCCCCTGAGTTGCCCGCGGGACTCTTCCTGAGTCACTGCTCCTATTTCTTTCTAGTTTTCTCCGTGTTTCCCCTTCACAAAGCAGCTCCTCCTTGTTTGTCACTCAGTCTTATTTATTTGACACACAGAGAGAGAGATCACAAGTAGGCAGAGAGGCAGGTGGAGAGAGAGAGAGGGGTAAGCAGGCTCCCTGCTGAGCAGAGAGCCCTATGCGGGGCTCGATCCCAGGACCCTGAGATCATGACCTGAGCCGAAGGCAGCTGCTTCACTGACTGAGCCACATCACACCCTTGATCCCCATCACTCTCCTACTTTTCCATCTCCAGGCATTGGAATTCTTCCATCACTCCTGCTTCTCAGGAAAAGCCCGCTGCTCCTCTGCTGTGTGGCTAAACTTCGCTGTTGCTGCCTCCTGACCTCCACTCAGTGGGCACCTATAGCCCTGGATGCTTTCCGGTTCCAGAAGCTTGGCTGCTCTGACTCTTCTGTGCTCTGGGAGCCACACATCCTTCTGCCATCAGCTCACATTTCCGAACCACCTCCTTGGATTCGTATTCCTTCTCAGCCTTCAGTGGCCTCTAGCCTCTCCCACTTTCTCAGCTGGTCCCTCTCTTTATCCTCCAAGTCTCTTAAGCGTCACCCCTTCTCAGCAGCCTTGGCTCCCCCTTCTCTTCAACTGGATCAGTCCTGATCTCAGTTTCTCTAGGTGTCCAGGCTGAAACCACAATGTTCTGCTCCATTGTTCCCAAACACTCCCAGTTCTCACCTGTCATCAGTCACCTGACCGTTTGCTTTCTCGCCTGTTTGTTACTGCTTTATTGTTTGCATCCATCATCCTGTTTCTTGTGTCTTTTCATTCAGGTCTTTCCTCATTTGAGTTGTTTCCTAATCTGCCTTTACCTGCCACCCTGCAGAGACCTAAAGCTTCTTAAATATACATTTTAAGTCCTAGGTGTCTCATAAGTTATATCTGTTTCCAAGCTGTCATACTGTTTCTCCTCTTTGTTTCCATGTCTGCAGAATCTAGTCTCTGCTGTTCTCAGTCCATCAACTGTGTCCCAATTCTGAATGCCATCCCTCTCCTAGAGCTGCTGTAATTAGATGCTGATGTCCCTGTGGCTCTTCTGACCTTGGTGGTTTCACTTTCTGAAATTGCTCCAGGCTTAGGAGTTCATCTCATTTATCAGAACTGCACCCCAACCCCAACCCCAACACACACACACACACACACACACACACACACACATTTTTCCTTTGGCTTCTCTTTATTCCGTTGCTCATTGTTCCTATATAGAGAGCTATGTTTATCTCCTAAATTTCTCACATCTCCCAAGCTATTCCAAATCCCCGTGAGCACCCCATTATTTCAATCCTTATTTGTTCAACTTCTCCAACATCTCCTGTGATAGATCTGTCCCCAAACTGTTACCTTCCCTGACTACCTGAGTTTTGCCAGTCTCCTACCATAGCCAATGTGTTGTATAAGTAATTTTTCAGATACCTCTCCCTCCCTGGTCCCTGGGAGAGAACGTCTAAATCTTTGGAATTTCCTGAGTGATAGGAATGTTTGTTACTCACACTGGGCCCCTTGGACCAAACCTGAGTTTGTGCTAATGAGGTGAGTCAGGATACGGCCAGCCATACCAGGAACCCCAACATGGGTGGGGCTTTGAACAACTTGATATCAGCCCAATCTCTAGGGGAAGGAAGAGAGTTGGAGACTGAGTTCGATATATGGCCAATGATTGAGTTAATCACACTTGCATAATGAAACCCCAATAAAAACTCTGGTCACCAAGCTCAGGTGAGCTTCCTGATGGGTGATATGCATCTATGTGCCAAGACATCCATGGGATGCTTCCCGAGGACACTGAAGCTTGGTATTTGAGACAGCCCCAGTATTCTCTGGTGCTACCATCTCCCAAGATGATTTCCTCCAATATTCAGGATTCCTGCCATTAACTCTTTCTTCTCCATGCCTCTCTTATTTGACAGCTTTAGCTCCTCCTATCTTACTGTGTTTCTGAGAAAGTTCTCCCAAACCCTCATTTCTTTCCAGTTGTTCTATTTCATCCCACACCGTAGATTTTCTTTCTACCAAAGAAGGGTGCTCCCTTGCACCTGTGGGTCTGCTTGCCATGGATCATTGCCTAAAATGCATAATCTCACTGAGTCACCTTGCCCTCATTGTGAATTTCAGATTATCTAGGTCCCCATAGCACTATCTTCCTTCTTCCCCTTTTCCTCCCTCAATATCTTTGCCTTGTTTCTTGCTTTAAGACACAAGCTCAGGGTTCACTTTGTCTTCTTTTTTTTTCTACATGAAAAGTAACTTACACTTGGGGCGCTTGGGTGGCTCAGTGGGTTAAGTGTCTGCCTTCGGCTCAGGTCATGATCTCAGGGTCCTGGGATCGAGCCCCGCCCGCATCCAGTTCTCTGCACAGAGGGGAGCCTGCTTTCCCCTCTCTCTTTCTGCCTGCCTCTCTGCCTACTTGTGATCTCTCTCTGTCAAATAAATAAATAAAATCTTTAAAAAAACCCCACATCCTCATTTTAAAAAAAAACTTACACTTATTTTTCAAAGGTAAGAAGTGTGGCTGAATAATCACAACCCCATTAAAAAAGGGTATCATTGGACAGTGAACAGTAAGACCAATTGGGATGACCACAAACACCACAAAGATAAAGACTTTTATCCTTATTATGTTTCCTCAAGAGACACATTGCAGTGTCCTCTTTAATAACCTAAAATAACATAAAACAACTTACAAACGTGTCATCAAGGCAAGTAAAAAAATTACAACGGATTCCCACAATTTAATAATGAAGACTAAATGTCAAATAAACATTTACAGTAATAACAACTTGAGGGAACCACCTACCTGATTATAAGTGTAATTGATACATAACTATAGTAAAAACACAAAAACCTATCCTGAATATGTCAACAAAATTTTATCTACAGGTGTAATCTCATCACAAAACTTTGTAGGAACAACATGTTTTGAAAACTATGACTATTTCAGAACTTTTAAAAATAAATACATAAATATAAAATATAAAAATAAATAAAATAATTCTAAGGGCAACATTTTCAAAATATACCAATGAAATTCATGGCATAATATTAGGCTATTATAATCCTTTGTCTCTCGTTTTATATTTTTGAAGTAATCTCCTCCTCGTCTGTGTCCCAATGCATAAAAAACAGGATCTCCAACTCCTACCTCAAGGGAGATTTGAATTTAAAAAATCTGAAATATTTGGTGCCACCCCAGGGAGGGGTGGAACCTGAAAAAAAGCCTGGTTTCTTATTGTCTTTCTCTGGACTCCTACAGGTACTCCCAGCTCCTCGGAGTACAATATGAGAACCCTCTTCAGCTAATTCTAGAAGGTCCTGGGTTCTTCTAGATTATCTGCACAAGAGACTCCTCTCTTCCTTCCTCGTGCCTGTCGTTAGTATCTGGATTGACTTCCTGCTGAAAACCTGCGTCTCCCCTGGGCCCAGGGATCTGAAATTGAGAGAAAGAGTGGAAGTCAGATCGCAAGGAGGCAACTCTCCAGACATCTTGGTCAGTTCTAACTGGAGTTTAGACTAATTCATAAATCCAACTTTATCTCTAATCCTTCATTCTAAACCCCAATTAATTTTCAGTTATGACTCTTGGACTTTGGTGACCCTGACCCCCAAAATTTCTTCATGTGCCTAAGATCAGACCCAGTTATCTGCTTGATAGCCAGGACTCTAGGTCATTCTGCTCAGGGAGTAAAGCAAACTTGAGGGTCGCCTGGGTGACTCAGTCGGTTGAGCGTCTGCCTTCGGCTCAGGTACCTGGGATTGAGTCCCGCATCAGGCTCCTAGCTCAGATGAGGAGCCTGCTTCTCCCTCTGCCTGCTACTCCCCTGCCTGTGTTCTCTCTCTGTCTTTGACAAACAATTAAAATCTTTAAAAATAAAACAACAACAACAACAACGAAAGAAACAAACAAACAAACTTGAGAGAATGTTGCTTTAGACCTGAAACTCACCTTGGTCCTCTTGTGCTACTTAAAGTCTGAACATATAACCATACCGCAAACATCAACATCATGAACCATGAGACCACATAATCCTCCATTCTAACCCTAGATCCTAATGTTTAACCATAACACCTAGTCCTAAATTTGGTCAGTGCTACATGGTCTGAATGTTTGTCTCTCCACCTCCCTCAAATTTGTACATTGAGATCCTAACCCACAAGGTGATGGTGCTATGAGATGGGGTCTTTGGGATGATTGGGCCATGGGTGGGGCCCTCAAGAATGGCAGTAGTGCTCTGATAAAAGAGACCCCAGTGACCTAACTCAGAACCCACTTTGTCTGCAATCCAGAAAAGGGTCTGGCACCCTGCTCTCAGACTTCCAGCCTCCAAACCATGAGAAATAAATGTCTGTTGCTCAAAGCCATGTAGTACTTCGTTGTGGGAGCCCGAATGGACTGAGAACTAGTTCACACGATTTAAACCAAATCTTTACTTAATCCTCTGCCCAAATCTATAACTCTATGTGCTGATCACAATAAGCTATGCTGAAACTAGTATTTCTTTTTTTTTTAAAGATTTTATTTATTTATTTATTTGACAGACAGATCACAAGTAGGCAGAGAGGCAGCCAGAGAGAGACAGAGAAGCAGGCTCCCTGCTGAGCAGAGAGCCCAATGCGGGGCTCGATCCCAGGGCCCTGGGATCATGACCTGAGCTGAAGGCAGAGGCCTTAACCCACTGAGCCACCCAGGTGCCCCGAAACTAGTATTTCTGAAGGTTCACTCATTCTGACAAACTCCTTGACTGTGAACCTGAGGGGAAAGATGTAATGGAACAAGATGGGAGACTGGTCCAGAAGTGGGCAGGGGACACGAAGGACTCACAGATGCCATCTGGCCATCAGCAATATGCTCGCAAGCAAATCTGGATGAAAACATAGCTAGTCCTAATTTATCTTTTGTTATTGGATAGGTAGACTGTTCCATCCAATGTTCTATTGTTAGACATTTACTTTGTTGTAAATAAATCCCCAGAATTCATATCTCTGAGGGATGAAAGAGAAAGTCAAAACACAATGTAGGGGAAAAATTGGAAACTTGCTCTGTTTTCACAGAAAGTCAACAATTCCTCAGAGCTATCATCTGGGCCTAGTTGGTTTCAGTGGAATTATTTCAGCCAACTCCATGCCTCTGTGACAAACTGGTTTTCCTGAGGTCTGGCCTCCCACACATCTCCCTGAGTCATGGCTCTGTGGGGTTGTCAGCTCGTGGCTGGGACCTGAGTACGTGTACGGCTTCCACCTTATAGCGTGTGGAAGGCTGACGTGTGGGGCTAGGGAGATGAGCGTGGGCCCAGCAACTGGATTCCTCAGATCTCCTCATTACACAAGAAATCATTGTGCCTGGACTCATGAGGACAGAGACCTACCTTCCTTCAGGCCGATGACCTCAGGCCTCCATGGCCCTGGGAGACCTAGGGCATCAGAGTGCAGCGATCTCGCCCCCACACCCACAGATCTGGATCAAAAGCCTGGATCTGGAAGACAAGCAGCCCCATGAGAACACAACTTCCAGATGGGCCCTGCCCCCGCGCCCCCCGACTGCTCCCTCCTGTTGTCCAGACTCTTAATTCTTTCTGGTCCCTAATCCCCATGTCCCTCCCTGTACCCCTCTCTCTCCCATTGGGCCCCACACCCCAAATCCCTCCAGCCCACCCACCTCTTCACACTCTTCTCGAGACACCCTGGTCTTCCAGTCCATGGATCGTATGAATTGGAATCTCAGTTTGTGGAACAATGGACGCTGGGACCGGTTCTTCCCATAGAGGAATGAAAAGATGGCCTGTTTGGGGGCCTGGTTATCCTCTTCCATATCATTGGCCAGGTAGCTGGAGAGAGACATCAGGTTGTTGGTCAGGAGCAGGACGGAAAGGATGCCTCTCCCCAATCTGAGCTCAGCTTCCCAGAAAGGACACAGGTTGCTCATTACCCAGTGTCACAGAGTGTCACTCAGTCATCAAGAAGTCATGGCTGGGCGGAGACTTCTCCCAGCTTGAGGATGGAGAGGGAACTCAACAGGAAGCCTGAGGGCATGTCCTGCCGGAGGGGAGGGGTTCCCCAAACCCACACCCACCCCTTCCCTTCAGCTAGTTTGTGCACAAACCTGTCTCCCCGTAGAGCAAGGCCATATACATCTCCCACAGGCAGGAGCTGATCCTGTTCTATTCTGTAACCATGATTTTCCTACCAAATAACTAATACAGGACTGGGTTCATGTGGGTGCATTAATTCAACACCCACTTCTGGAATCTCTCTTCCCATTGCCTCATGTCCTTGGTCCATAAGGTGCACTTTATATGTATTTGTTGAATGAATAAATGATGCTTTTTCTCATGTTCAAGTGCAATACTGCTCACCTCCTAGTCCCAACATAACTTAAACCTATGTAAAACAGAAGGAATTGTGTGCAGTGTCTTTGAGAGTGTGGTAATATCTTGACAAGTCCTGCAGGCATCGAGTCCAATGGGATTGGGGAAGGGGACCGAGCGGTGGGGCGGTGAGTGGATAGGAAATAACCATAGTCCAAAATATCCATGACACTCAGATTTTAACAGAAGTGCTACTGCAGTGCGGAAGTCAGGGAGGTCGGCGGGGCGGGGAAGGGGGAGCATCTGAAGATTTGGGAGTTGAAGTTGACCTAGAGGACAAGTCATTTTCTTCAGGTATATGTGCAAAATTACCTAGACAGAAAACGCAGTATAGGAACAGAGGAAAGGGTCCTTAGATGGATGAAATACCAAGGGGATGAACAAGTTGGATGAAGACGAAAGAGTTGGATACAAGCTCGGAAGCCTGGCCTTGACCCAGAGCGCCACTAGCCCTGGAGAGTGAAGGAGGAGACCAGAGCTTTGAAGGACTTCATGCACATAGTGCTCACAGGCTTGGGGACAGTCTTGTAAGAAACACCCACGGAAGCATTCACAACAGATCTGTGCTATGTCTTGGGGGCCTGAATTGAGGCATTTGTGCTGGGAATGAGGAGGAGGAAAACAATTACGCTTGGTGTTGCCATGGGAAGGAGACAGACGGAGGATCAGGACCGGCTGCTTCGTTAGTCTATTTGCTCAGGGCAGGGCCGTGTCCGTTCCTTCCTTCCGTCCTCTTAGAAGAGTCTTCTGTTTGCTTCTCCTAGCTGATGTTAGGGTTGTTTGTATTTACAAAGAACAGTCTAAAAAAACACTATACTATAATCCTTTCGTTTTTATACACAGGGTCAACAGTTTTTTAAAAAATAGTTTAGGGGTGCCTGGGTGGCTCAGTGGGTTAAGCCTCTGCATTCGGCTCAGGTCATGGTCCCAGGGTCCTGGGATCGAGCCCCACGTCGGGCTCTCTGCTCCACAGGGAGCCTGCTTCCTCCCCTCTCTCTCTCTGCCTGCCTCTCTGCCTACTTGTGATCTCTCTTTCTGTCAAATAAATAAATAAAATCTTTAAAAAAATTAAAAATAGTTTAATAAACAGTTACAAACAGGTTAAAAAAAAAGTAGATGAAAGGTTAGGGTCCCACTTCTCCCCTCCATCCTCCCAGGTAGGGAATGCTACTGAGGGATGAGACAAAAATACTCACAGGGCTATGAAGAAGTGGATTCGCTGGTACTGCCAGGAGAAGAGGCCAGCACGGCTGAAGTAAGCTATGACCATAGACAGGAGATACTGGCGGAAAGAGGAGACACAGTGTAAGAGAGAGGTCACATCCTGGGTGAGGAAGACCAGTGGGGGAAGGGGACAGGAGGCTGGAGCAGGTGCTCCCGCTTTGATGGACTGGGTGAATTTGCTTATTTGGTGTCAAAAGGTTGGTTGCAAACCAAAGAAGTCAAGAGAGGAGTTTATGGTGCTCCCAGGATAGCAAGCTGTGCTGGTTTGAGGGCTTGCTTCAGGACAGCCGGCCTCTGGAGGGTCTCTGAGAAGCTGGAGCCAAGGGGAGCCCCACGCAAGAGCTGAGAGGAGAAGGGACTTAAGGTGGCAACAGCCAGAGGGGCACGCCTGGGACTCAGGTCCCAGATGATCTGCAGGAAACCATGAGGTCCCCAACGGGAAGTGTTGGCAGGATGAGGTTGGGGACTGGATTTTGGAGGCGTCATCCTGCCCCAGGACAGATGTTGGAACAAGAACACATCTGAGTGGAGAACAATGATACCTTGTCGGATACTCTCAGATTTTTGTCCCAGGCCAGAAATCTTTGAATGACAGGATCCTCTGTGAAAAGAGGGCATAGATCAGGTTGGCAAGCAGAATGGGGTTACTTTGGGAGCATTCCAGGGCAAAGAGGAGAATGATGCCTCTCCTGGGGAAGTTTCAGGATGTGGCCAACGGTGAGGCTGATGGGCAGAAGGGAGCAAAGACCAGTCACCGGCCAGGAAAAGTTGGTGGCTTCCGGCGTGAGGAGGCTGAGAGAGAGCACACCTATAAGATTGGATGGGAAGTCAACAGGGATGCTGTCTCATCATGCATGGATATGCCACTGCAGAGACCACAGTCGTTCCCTGTCATTTTCTCATCCCACAGTGACATCAGGGTATAAAGATGGCATGTCATTCCCACACCCCCTGCCCAACTCCACACACACAGCCAAAGACATTTAGAGTCAAAAGGCCAATAAGGGTGACCGATGGGTTAAAGCCTCTGCCTTCGGCTCAGGTCAGATCCTAGGGTCCTGGGATCGAGCCCCACATCGGGTTCTCTCCTCAGTGGGGAGCCTGCTTCCCCCCCTCTTTCTCTGTCTGCCTCTGCCTGCTTGTGATCTCTCTCTGTCAAATAAATAAATAAAATATTTAAAAAACACAAAAACCAAAAGGCCAATAAGAACTAAGACATCTCAGGAGTGTAACTGAAACCAAGCTTTCTCATGCCAAGTACAGACCTTTCTCCAAGTCTCACCTAATCCTCTGTCATTTTTATGTGTCCCCAGTGAGGGATCATTATGGAGTCCTCCAAGGAGCTCACCAACCTTCAGAGAATTCTTTTCCACTGGAAAAACGTAGGCATTGGAAGCTTCTTGAGTTTAAAGAGAAAAGGGAAGAGGGTTGAAGGGGCTCTTCTTACCAAGCAACCTTTTGAAGACCTCGTGGTGTTCAGGGAGCACTGAAGACACCCGTTGTCTCTTCAACTTCATCTTGAGGCCACACAGTGTCTCCACGACCCAGATGTCCTTAGCGCCAGGGGTTGTCTCCTCATCTGACTCATCCCTTCCTCTCCTCCTTGTGGGGGACTCAGGCAGGGGGCAGGGGTCTACCCAGGGGGCTGAGTGAAAAAAACAGGCTACAGTATAAGGCTTTTGTCTTTGGAATTCAATCACCCCTTCTCCCCCTCCAAAAACCCAAACTTCCCCTTCATTCTCTCCAGACTTACTGACAACTGACATCTCCCCAACCATGTTTCCATCTTTCTCCTTTGTTGATACACATCTGTCCCCATTCATCTTTGGCACTGTTTCACCACCCCCATCCTCAAAATTTCATTGTAGATAACTTCTCCCTTGGGAATAATGGCATAATTTCCTCTCTTCCTTTACCTCATCTTTGGATCTCATCTCCTAACCCTCTTTCCCTGCTTCCTGGGTTTTCCTTCCATGGTTATAGTTTTGTCCCAAACTCCTGTACTTTCCTTCTCCAATCCCCGGCTTTCTGGATCTCTCCTGTCACACACACCCTACTCAGACACTCCTTCCTGATTTTTGTACCCATTCCTCCTTACTAGCCAAGCCTCTCAAGTCCCTTCCTCCTCCTCCTTTCTCACCTGATGGTCCCGGGCTTTCTTCATCCACCACATCGAAGGGGTACCCTGAGGAGCTAGGCTGGGGGCTCTGGTCCTCAGACTGGGAACACGGTTGATGATCGGCCATGATTTCTCCCAAGATCTTTCAGTCCTTCCAGAAAACTTGGACCCTGTTCTGCGCAAACTCCTCTTCTAAATTCCAACTGAACGCAAGCCCGTGATCCCTTCTCCAAGCTGGGGCAAAGCCAGGAGTGGAGAAAAGGTCTGTGAAGATGCTGTTGTCCACCTCCACTGCCAAGCACCACAGAATCTGGTCCTTCCAATCAGGAAGGTCAGAAGCCTCTGATGTCACGGGTCATTCCAGCCTGGCAACCAGTTTGAAGGGAAACATGTAACTGCCAGACTGATGTCCAGTTTTGGATCTCGAGGTAAAGGCTGTTTCCAGCCACCGACCCAGCCTCGGACCATCCTCCAAAACTGTTCTCGAGGGGTGTGGATCACTCTACTCCTCTCCAGCAGATGCCCAGCTCTCTCCGCTCTTGACACATATGGGGCTCTCTCCATCCTTCCTATTCCTAATTCAGGGCACAGTCTGGCAGGAGAAGGAGGAAAGAGACAAGGGAATTTGGGATGAGCCGAAAGGTAAGAACTTACAAGACGGACATAAGTATGTCAAGAAGGTACATGGACTTGTTGGAATTAAAAGGTAGTTTAAGGGACGCCTGGGTGGCTCAGTTGGTTAAGCGGCTGCCTTTGGCTCAGGTCATGATCCAGTGTCCTGGGATTGAGTCCCACATAGGGCTCCTTGCTCAGCGGGGAGCCTGCTTCTCCCTCTGCCTCTGCCTGCCTCTCTGTCTGCCTGTGCTCCCTCGCTCCCTCTCTCTCTCTGACAAATAAATAAAATTTTTTTAAAAAGTTAGTTTAAATCGCTTGATTTGGCAGACTTCTTCTGCTCCATGTTTTACTGACATTGTGTTGGGGGTGGGGTTCGGTGGTGGGGGAGCACTCACGCTCTCCTCTCAGGCATCTCTGAGCCCAAGAGACATTTTGGGAACCTGAACCCGTAGATAACTGTACCTGTGTTCTCACACACTTCAGACGGTGTCTACAACTTCAAAAGTCCCTGAACCACCCAAAACCTGCCCCTTGATTGCAATTAATCAGCTCTAGTCTGCATCTGAAATTTGTAAGCCCGTGTATCACTCTCGACCCAGAAACTTCATGACCACTTGTGTATCCTATGAACAAAACGTCACATGCACAAAAAGGCTAGATGGAAAAATCTCCCATTCAAGGCAGAATCTGTTTAACCAAGAAGGTGGGAAGCATGTGGTAGCACAGACGCCATCACGAAAGTACTGGCCGGCTGTCCATTAACATCAGAGGAAGCTTCTTCCCAACCTCCTACCTCCTACCTCTTCTTCTCACCTGTGCATCTGAATCTTGCTTGCTCTTTCTTTCTGTGTTAAAATAACAGGACAGAAAATTTACCATTTTAACCATTTTTGAGGGTATGATTTGGTAGCAGTATGCACATTCGGGTCTCTGTGCTACCATCAGCACCATCCTTCTCCAGAACTTTTTCGTCTTCCCTGAAACTGAAACTCTGTACCCACTGAAGGATAACTCCCTGTTCTCCCCTCCCCCAGCCCCTGGCAACCACCATTCTACTTTCTGTCTCTAGAAATTTGGCTATTTCAGATACCTCCTATCAGTAGAATCATGCAGTATTTTATGCATATGTTTCTGATTTATTTCATTCAGCAAAATGTCTTCAAAGCTCATCCATGTTATAGGGTGCGACAGAATTCCTTCCTTTTTAAAGATGAATAATATCCATTCTCTGTGTGTGTGTTTGCATTTTTACATATTCCTTTCACAATCATATAACATAGTAATACATACCATTTTTAGTTTATCCATCCATCTGTTGATGGATGCCAGTGTTGTGTCCACATTTTGGCTAAGCCTTGCTTTCAATCTACTGTTTGAACTTGGATGAGAAACACATCTTTAATTCGGGATGTGCCTCAAGTTTTATTTTGCATTTCGATCACTTACATATAGCTAAGGAGCCCAGTCCAAGCATAAATAAAGTCAAACTAGTTCACCCAGAAAACAATATGGAGGTTTCTCCAAAGATTTTAAAAAACCAAACGAACAAACCCAAAAAACAGAAGTACCATATAATCTGGCACTCCTACTGCTGGGTATACAACCAAAGGAAATGAAAACAGGATATTAAAGAGATATCTGCCCTCCTGTGTTCATTGCAGCATTACTCACAATAGCCAAGATAGGAAAACAACCCAGGTGTCCGTCAACGGAGGCGTGCATAAAGAAGATGTGAGATACATACACAGGGAGCTGTAGATTGATATTTGTATAGAGGTGAGAAAGAAGGAAATCCTGCCATTCGTGACAACATGGATGGAACTTGAAGGCATTATGTGGAATGAAATAAGCCTGACAGAGAAAGACAAATACTGCGTGGTAACATTTATATGGGAAATCTTAAAAAACAACAAAAAAAAGTCAAACTCAGAGAAACAGAAGGTTTAAAGAAAAAAAAAAGGAGGTTGCCAGGGGTGGGGAAGGTGGAGGAACTAGGGAGAGGCTGGTAAAAAGAAGAAAGCTTTTCAGTGAGAAGATGAATGAAGTCTACAGATCTCATACCAGACACAGTAAGTGCACACAACACAGCATATAAATGAAATTTGCCAGGGGAGTAGAACTGGCATGTTCTCACCCCCCAAAAAGGTCAGTAAGTGAGGTCATGAATGTGTTAATTAACTAGGTGGTTAGAATCCCTTCACTGTGGCTCCATATATCTCTCACAATGATGTACACTTTAAATCTTACTGTTTTATATGTCAGTTACACCTCAGTAAAACTGAAATTTTTAAAAAGTAGTTGATCCAAGGTGCAGGGACCGACTGTTACCTTTGTTTGCAATTGTTAACCTTCACATTTGGATGAGGTCTCAGAGAGCCTGCAGATGGCCTTGGGGTTCCCGCACAGCGTCCCTGGGTCCTGGACCTCCTGCGGGTCCCACACTGCCCCATGAAGGACACATGACTCGTGGCTGCAGAAGTTCAATCTCTAGGAAGCCCATCTGCATTCAGATTTCCATTCCTGATGTTTCAGCCATCAGACCTGATTGGACCCACCCATAACAAAACAGAAGTCTGGGATTTGGTTTTTTATTTATTTATTTTTAAAGATTTTATTTATTTATTTGACAGATATCACAAGTAGGCAGAGAGGCAGGCACAGATAGAGGAGTGAGGAGGCAGGCTCCCCACCAAGCAGAGAGCCCGATGCGGGCCTTGATCCCAGGATCCTGAGACCATGACCCGAGCTGAAGGCAGAGGCTTTAACCCACTGAGCCACCTAGGCACCCCTGGGATTTGTTTTTTAGAACAAGGGATGTGATGCGCTAAAGACGGAAGCAAGACCCCAGGATTCACCTCGGCGGCTCTGATTCAAGTCCTCTGACCTGTTCACTATGTCTCCTTCTCCATCTGCTCAGACTCCTGTTGGTAGACAATCTGGAGAACATAAACCAGTAGTTATAATATGCTTGTCTAAAAGATAGGGGGGTGAGAATGGGAAAGTAATGGTTTTGTTACAAACCAGCACATGCCCTTGTGCAAATCATCCTGCCTTCAGGGTCCCATCTCTTCAACCTATAAAATAAAATACTTAGATAAGATGATCTGTAAGCGTTCTGCCCGTGTTAACATAACCAAGGCAGTGAGGAAGCAAATTGGACAAGACCATGGACACAAAGGCTAGGGGTTAAATTGTGTGCTCCCGTCCAACCCTCCCTTCTCCCCCTCCCATTCATATGTTGAAGTCCTAACCCCTGGTACCTCCGATTGTGATATATATATATATATATATATATATATATATATATATATATATTTATATTTTGGTGGTGAGTCTTGATGGAGGAAAATCAAGGTAAAATGAAGCCCTTAGGGTGGATGTTGTGATCTCAAGGTCATGAGCCCCAAGCTAGACACGGCACTCAGCAGGGAGTCTGCTTCTCTCTCTCTCTCTCCCCCTCTGCCCACCCCTTGCTCATGCACTCTCTCTCTAAAATAAATATATAACTCTAAAAAAAAAAGGAAAATTTGGATACAGAGACCCCCAGGTAGAGAGAAGAGAGTGTGATGATACACAGAGAGAGGGGACTGTCGTCTACAAGCCAAGGAGAGAGGATGGGACTGAGCCCCCACACCCCCCACCCAAGGAACTAGGTCTGCCCACACCTGGATCTCAGACTCCCAGCCTCCAGAACTTGGAGACAATGCATCTCTGTTGTTAAGGCCCCTGGGTTGTCTTACTTTGTTGCAGCTTTCTTGTAAACCCATCCAACCAGTATTTTGCATAAGAGGGAATTCAGATCTGACAGTCACTTTCCTCGCACTTCTGCTGCCCCTTCCATTAAAGCAAAACATGTCCCTAGGCTTCAAAGAAGAACCAGTTCTTTCATACAGATTAGAAACTTGAGCTTTCTTAGCCTCTGACATTTCCTGGTCACCGTGAATGTGCTTAGTTTGGGGGCAAAAATGGTTGAAAGACTTTAAGAGAAGAATGATTCACAAATCTTGAGGATGGCTGCCAGTTATCTTAATAAAACTGATGTGTTAAAGAGAAACAGGAGCCAACACAGGCAATTACTTAGAAAATTAAGGGCTGGAAAGGCTTCTTCAAGTATGGTGTCAAAACAGAAGAAAAGTAGAAAGAGAAAGTGAGTGATTTGAACACAAGAAATAATGTCAAGGGTCATCTGGGGGTCTCAGATGGTTAAGCATCTGCCTTTGGCTCAGATCATAGTCCCAGAGTCCTGGGATCAAGTTCCACATCAGGGGTCCCTGCTTAGCAGGGAGCCTGCTTCTCCTTTTGCCTCTGTCCCTCTCTCTCTCTGTCTCTCATGAATAAATAAATAAATCTTTAAAAACATTATGTCCCTATGGCAGAAAATAAAAGTAAAACATTAAGTTCAAAAGGTCAATGACAAATTGGGGGAAATATTTGTATTTAATACAAATACAAAAAGAGAAAGCTTTATATTTTAAATACTAATAAATGAAGAGATCTTAATGAAGCCACATTAAAAAGTATAGATCCAGGGCACCTGGGTAGCTCAGTCGGTTAAGTGTCTGCCTTTGGCTCAGGTCTTGATCCCGGGGTTCTAGGATGGAGCCCAGCATTAGGCTCCCTGCTTAGCGGGGAGTCTGCTTCTCCCTCTCCCTCTGCTGCCCCCTGCTTGTGCTCTTTCTCTGTCAAATAAATATATAAAGTATATATATTTTTTAAAGGTACAGATCCAGGGGCGCCTGGGTGGCTCAGTGGGTTAAAGCCCCTGCCTTCAGCTCAGATCATGATCCCAGGGCCCTGGGATTGAGTCCCATGTCAGGCTCTCTGCTCACCAGGGAGCCTGCTTCCCCCCACCCCCTGCCTGCCTCTCTGCCTACTTGTGATCTCTGTCTGTCAAATAAACAAATAAAATCTTTAAAAAATAAAAAAAGGTGCAGATCTGGTACTTCTGGCCCAGACAGAATCACAGGGTTCAGATTTGCCCTCCCCGCTTAAAGAAGTTTCTAGGAGGGGGAAAAATATGAATATATGAAATGACAGGTTTTAGCCATTTGGAGAGAGGAGTGAGCCCCAAGAACGTCCAGTTCACCGCCCAGAGAGTTATCCAGGCTGAGGTTATGTGGCAGGGGTCCTGGGGTCACCCAGGATGTCTCTGAGTTGCAGGGACAGAGTTGGGTGGTGAGGGGGAGGGGGGCACGACAGCCAGAGTTCATAGGCAGAGAACCAGAGTGGACAGAGAGGCGGGAGGGCGTCCCAGTCTTCAGCTGAGCAGGTCAGTGCCTGTGGGGGAGGCAAGGGCTGGAGGCCAGGACCCAGTGGACGGGGCAGGGGGTGCTCTGCCTGTCTTCCCCAAGGTGCTCAGCATAGCTTCCTTCCTTTACCTGCCGAAAATGGAAAAGAACACAGAAGAAATGTGCCTGGAGGTCTTCCAGTCTCAGGCCCAGGGGAAGTGTAGTTACCTCTCATGAATTCCAGCATTCTGTTGGTGAGAAGTCCGTTGGTGGGAATTCGGGCACAGACCACACTTACTAGCAGCAAGAGCTGGGCAGGACTTCCGGGCTACACAGCCACAGCCATGGCGGACAGAGCAGCTTCCGGAGAAGCACGCTTTTTGTGCAGGATTAATTTGATGCAACAGCTCAGCGAGAGAAATCAGGAATGGGTTATGTGCCCATCATTAGCATAAATCAGTACTATTACCTTTGGAAAGAGTGTTAACCTGAAGAAAACTTCCTCTGTTGATTTTGTATGTATCTAAATCTCCTGGAAGCTAAATAATTTTCTTGCTAGCATTATAACAGGGGATGGTTGTTCTTAAGGGCCTGGGAGCCATCTCTTTGAAATGTAAACCTCAAGGAAGGTAGTGTGTCTCTGTCACCAGGAGAGTTAAGGGTGGGCCCTAGGCACCTAGCTCTGAGCTTTAACAACCTATTTGTCAGAAACAGGTAAGTAGTTTTCTTTTTCCTTTGGACAGAGACAACTGGCACGAATGGGCACCAAGATGACAAGGTGAATTTAGGATGAACAGTGAAAAAACTTATAGCAAATGCCGCTGGCAAGTCCTGTGACCCTGTTTCGTCGGAGAACTTCTATGTAATGGATTGTATCTCCCGAGCTGATTGAAAAGGCGAGGTTCATTTTTCTCCTTGCTGTCTTGTTAGTAGTTCGCCTGTGACGTGCAACACAGTCTGGTTTAATGGTTATTTAACAATAGAACAGGGGCACCTGGGTGGCTCAGTCAGTTAAAGTGACTTGTTTTCAGCTCAGGTCCTGATCTCAGGGTTGTAGGATCGAGTCCTGCATGGGGCTCCACACTCTGCACAGAGTTGGCTGGGGATTCACTCTCTAACTCTCCCTCTGCCCCTCCCCCTGTTCTTTGTCTCTTTCTCTCTAAAATAAATCTTAAAAAACAAAACAATAGAGTGGTTGTTCTTATTTCTATAGTTGCAGAGAGGATTTCTTGGATGGCAGGAGATTTTACTTTTAATCCTCACCACCCGCTACTGGTTAAGAAGCAATTGGCTAAGAAAAGGATTACATCATCTCACCAAAAAATACTGATAAAGCATCGTCCCTATGGTCCCATTTTTGAAAAATGACATTTTAAGCTAACACACACATAATTCTCTCTGATGCGCAAGATCTCAGGTATCTGGGTTTGTTTGGTTGGTTTGTGTGTGATTTCTGATTGTTCTACAGTTTTCATGCACTCGTTGTATAATATGGACAAGCTAAGTTTTCTATTTCCTTCCCCTTGCTTGGAGAAACCATGTGCCCATGGATGATAATATCTAATGTCATGACTGGATATTAATTGTAGACCAGTGTTTTAGTGAAACTTGTAATATTTCAGTGACGTGCATACTATACACCCTTTCCTTGTCCTCTCCTGCTCGTGGGGAATCTCAGTGCCAACCCGATAGATCTCTGGGCAAGCAAAGGACCAGAGATCCAGGACGTAAACACAGCCCACTACTCGAGGTGACACCTTTCCTTGATCCCTAACAGGAGCAAAGGCAAGTGGGAAATCCAGACCCTGGTCCCGGAGGTCAATTCTCAGCATAGCGCCTCTTAACCAGATAGGGTGGAGACTTTCGAGACGTCCCCTAACACGTGGGCGCTTGGACTCACGGGAAACAGAGGTCGGGTATTTGTCGGGCTCCCGAGTGGGCTCCTGCTGGCGCACCGCCGCCGTCGTCCTGCGCATGTGCAGCTCGGCCTGTGTGCGTGTTCGCGCACGCGTAGTGCCGCCTCGCTTCTCTCGCTTCCTGCCCGAGCCCAGGTCATCGCTCGCCGTGGTTCCCAGGCTTTGGCCTCCGGCGGGCAAGGGTCCCGGGGCCTACGGGGCTGCACGCTGTCCGGTCGGGCCGGCATCCAGCGGGCACGGGGCTGTGCGGGCGCGGCTCCGCGCAGGCTGGGCGGAGGCTCGAACGGGGGCCCTCGCGCTCGAGCCCCGGAGCCCGCGGGCTGGGCCGGAGGGGTCGGGCGGTGGCGGCGGCTACGGCGCAGGGCGGCGAGGCCCGGGCTCAGCCGGTCTGCGCCCGCGGGACGGGGAGGCCCTTGGAGACCGATTCGGGCCCCGGGAAGGTCGTCGGCCTGAAGTGAGTTTGCTCGTGGGCCCAGAGCCGGCTCCGCGGGAACGGCGGCCCCGGGAGGCGGAGGAGGAGCAGCCCCCGCCCCGGAGTCCTCGGGAGCCTCGGGGCAGCTCGGCGTGTCCCAACGGGGTAGGTCGTGCGCTTGCGGGTCTTGCGGGCGGCGGGGCTGCGAGAGAGCTCGAGCGGCTGGACCTGGAGGGATGGGCACTCCCCCGGGACTGGGGACTCGTGGGACTCACGTTTCCCGGGGGCGCAGGGGGTTCCCGCCTTCCCCCCTACCCCTTGCTCCCCCGGTTCCCTGTCCAGCTTCCTGACGCGTCTGTAATCGCGCAGGAGCGTGTGCTGACGCCGCTGGGTTGTGCCCTGGGGCATTCCCCCAGTGTAGGGCAGGACCAGCGTGAGTGGAGGAGTTGACAGGAGGAGACTGGGCCTGAGAAAGGAGGGGGCTTGCTCAGAGTGATGGCGTCTGGGGGTGGGCTTGCTCGCAGGACTCAGCTCCTGGGCCCGTGTTCTGTCCTCACTGTTACCGTTTTTTTTTAGTAAAAGATTCTTAAGTGCAGCCATAACGGAGTTAAGTGATCTCATTTAAAAACAAAAGTATGCCTTGATGCACGTTAATCATACTTCAGAGAGCTTGTGTTTTCAGTTCCTGTGGATACCGTGAGTTTAAGCAGTTTGAAGAGTCACAAAGAATGCGTGAACAGTGTAAGAAGAGGGTTTTCTTTTCAACATTAATTTAATGAAGGCAACCTATTTGAAAAATTAGTGGATGTTTATATTAACCAATGAGAGAAACCTGCTAATCACCTCCTGATACGTGGGAGTGACAACAGCTCTACTCTGATGTTTCTCCTTTTCTCACATTTTTAGGCCCTTCTGAGTGTTCACAGGGTAGGAGCTTTCTTTGGTGGTTCTCACACAGGATGTTCCCACCTCGGCAAGCTGCATTACCCGTGACTTCTATTATTTCTTCTGCTTCCCTAGGTCAGTCGTTAACAGTCTGTATGCTTTTCCAAGAGCAGCAGAGAATGAATGAGTCCCAGGTGAGTTTTCCTGTCTTTGTATATGTTCCCTTGCTTGGCTTTGTAATGCATTTCAGAAGGCTTATATGGATACAGAGATCACAAGTAGGCAGAGAGGCAGGCAGAGAGAGAGGGGGAAGTAGGCTTCCTGCTGAGCAGAGAGCCCGATGCGGGGCTCAATCCCAGAACCCTGAGACCATGACCCGAGCCGAAGGTAGAGGCTTAACCTACTGAGCCACCCAGGTGCCCCTGGATTCAGGTTTTAAAATGGGAATGTGGAAATAAGAGACATTATCGTGTAAAGTATAATTATTAGGGGCTCATATCAGCACCCAGAGTCGTCTTCTGAGTTCATGTGTGCAGATAGTAGGTTACCTCAGGGCTGTGGGGGTAGAGCTACACACATGACTGATGTTCCTGACAGTTGCGGAAAAAGAGCCCGTTATGTGATTTGAATTGACTGTTTTGTTACTTATGGGTTTTCAAGATTTCCTGGGATTTGAGAAAATGTCTTTGTGAGAATTGATGTAGTTATGGGTAGCTTTTCTAATAACAACCATTAGATATTGCAACATATGGCTTATGCATGTTGCTTATCTAAACCGAGGGCCTGCTGGGTGAGCAAAATTCGGTGATCCAAGAAGACCTGTTTTCATTGTTCCTGTTTGATGCAGGGATAAAACCTAAGGCTGAGGGAATGGCCTGCCCGTCCTTCAGATGCTTCTGTTACTGTTCATTTGGGTTGTGCAGTAAATAATAAAACAAAGTATTCTTTTTTTTTAAATATTTTATTTATTTATTTATTTGACAGAGATCACAAGTGGGGGGGTGGTGGAAAGCAGGCTCCCTGCTGAGCAGAGAGCCTGATGTGGGGCTCAATCCCAGGACCCTGGGATCATGACCTGAGCCGAAGGCAGAGGCTTTAACCCACTGAGCCACCCAGGCGTCCCAGCAAAGTATTCTTTAGCAAATATATTCTTGCTGTCATTCCTGTTTCAATGCTCAGCATCCCGGTTTTGTCCTCACCCCTCTCCCGAATGTTTCGGTAAAGATTAGCGGTGACCTAATTACAGTCAGATCCATCGGACATCTACCGATGTTTCTTTTTCTTTTTCCTGCTTTTGTCTTCTTTTCGATTGTGTATTTTTTATGATCCCATTTTACGTCTTGCGTGCAGTTGTTAGCTCTAACACAGTTGTTTGTGATTGCTTTGCAATTTATAGTATGAAACTTTAATTCATCACAGTTTATCTTCAGGTAAGGTGCCATTTATTGCTTAGAATGTAGGGAGTTTGTCATTTCCATTGCTCCCCACTGGGTCATCACACTGTTGTGTCTTTTTACTCTTTCAGGTAGAATCAAGCCCACAGGACTAGTGATTTTTAAGTAAATAGTTATTTTTTAAGGAATAAGAAAATAACATAGCTACCATTTCTGGTACTTTTCATTTCTTTATGTAGATACAGATTTTTATCTGCTGTTACTTTCCTTCTGCCTGAAGGACTTCCTTCAACACTTCTAGTTTTTTTTTTTCTTTTTTAAATTTTTATTTAAATTTTAATGAGTGAACTTACAGTGCAATATTGGTTTCAAGAGTAGAGGTCAGTGAATCATCACTTACATAGGACACCTGGTGCTCATCACAAGTGACCTTCTTAATGCCCATCCCCCATCTAGTCCATCCCCCACCCACGTCCCTCCATCACCCCTCATTGTGTTCTCTGATGGTTTGATTCCCCTCTCCTCTTTTGTTCCTTCCCATATGTTCATCTGTCTTGTTTCTTAAATCCCATATTTGTGAATCATGTGAGTGAAAGCGTATGAAAATTGTCATTTTCTGACTGATTTACTTCGCTTAGCATAATACCCTCTAGCTCTATCCAGGTCATTGCAAATAGTAAGATATTATTCTTTTTGATGGCTGAGTAATAATCCCTTGTATATATATACCACATCATCTTCGTTCCTCAGTCGGTGGACATTTGGGCTCTCGCTGTAGTTTGGCTCTTGTGGATAATGCTGCTCTAAACATCGGGGTTCCATAAACATAAAAGGTTCTCCTTCGAGTCTGTATTTTTGTATCCTTTGGGTAAATACCTCACCTAGAGTGTCATTGCTGGATTGTAGGGTATTTGTATTTTCAACTTTCTGAGGAACTGCCATATTGTTTTCCAGAGCGGCTGCACCAGCTTGCATTCCCCCCAGCAGTGCACGAGGTTCCCCTTTCTCCGCATCCTTGCCAACCCCTGTTGTTTCTTGTGTCATTGAGTTTAGCCATTGAGACAGCTGTGTGGTGGGATCTCATTGTGGTTTTGATTTGTGTTTCCCTCATGATGAGTGACGTTGTGCATCTTTGCATGTAAGGCACATTCATTTGGCCGTAGGTATGTCTTTGGGAAAGTGTCTGTTCATGTCCTCTGCCCATTTCTTGACTGGATTATTTGGATTTGGGATGCTGAGTTTGATAAGTTCTTTCTGGATTTTGGGACACTTCAAGCTGCTTGCTGCTGAATCTTTTAGCTCTTATATGTCAGAAAAGTCCTTTATTTTTGCCTTGGCTTTAATTTCAGGGGAGCGGGGCGCCTGGGTGGCCCAGTGGTTTAAAGCCTCTGCCTTCGGCTCAGGTCTGATCCCAGGGTCCTGGGATCGAGCCCCACAATGGGCTCTCTGCTCAGCGGGGAGCCTGCTTCCTTTCCTCTCTCTCTGCCTGCTTCCCTACCTACTTGTGATCTCTGTCTGTCAAATAAATAGATAAAATCTTTAAAAAAAAATCTTATAATTTCAGGGGAGCTTTGCTGGGTTTTCTCCTGTACTTCAGATGTGTTCCCCTACTGTCTTCCCACTTCCATTGTTCCCAAGAGAAATGTGATGTCATCCTCTCCATTCCTATGTTTGTCCTGTGGTTTTTGGTTTTTCTTCTAGATGCTTTTGAACTTTTCTCTTTTTTTTTTTTTTTTTTAAGATTTTATTTATTTATTTGACAGACAGAGAGCACAAGTAGGCAGAGAGGCAGGCAGAGAGAGGAGGAAGCAGGCTCCCTGCGGAGCAGAGCGCCTGATGCGGGGCTCGATCCCAGGACCCTGAGATCATGACCTGAGCTGAAGGCAGAGGCTTAACCCACTGAGCCACCCAGGTGCCCTGAACTTTTCTCTTTATCCCTGGTTTTGAGCAATTAGGTTATGCTATGTCTTGGTATTGCTTTCCTCCTGTCTCTGTGCTTGCGGGTCATTGAACTTTTTGGATCTGTGTGTTTATGATTTTCATCAACTTTGGGAAATTTTTTACTGTATTCCTTCAAATATTCCCCCCACCTCCCTCCATCTGTCCTTTAGCAACTCCTTTTCCCTGTGTGTTATGCAGCTTGAAGTTGTCCCACAACTTACTGATTCTCTTTGTTCTCTTCCAATTCCTTTTTCTCTGTGTGTTTCATTTTATAAAAGCTCCTGTTGCTGTTCTTCATGTTCACTGATCTTTTTTTTGGTGCTGTGTTAATCTAGTCGGGTGTTAACTTTCTCAGACATTGTAGTATTTATCTGTAGAAGTTCAGTTTGAGTCTTTTTACTTGTCTTCCCTGTTCCTACTCAAATGTTTTGAACATAAGGAATATGGTAATAAACTATTTTAATGTTCAGTGCCACTTGTAACATCTGGGTCAGTTCTAGGCCCATTTCAGTAGATGTGTGATTTTCTGTGGTGGCCTGTCCTTCCCTGCATATTTCCCCCAGTTTGTCAACCCTCCTCACCTCCTCTCGGTTCTCCCTCCCTGCTCCAGGGCTGGAAACTCTCAGGGCAGTAACCAGAGGCCTCCCCTTGTTGATATCCTGTCTCTGACTCCTTCCTTCATTGCTGCCCTTTATTGCTTCAAGATCCGTGTCTTAAAAGCCACTGCTTTGGGGGCACCTGGGTGGCTCAGTGGTTAAAGCCTCTGCCTTCGGCTCAGGTTATAATCTCAGGGTCCTGGGATTGAGCCCCACATCGGGCTCCCTGCTCAGCAGGGAGCCTGCTTCCCTCTCTCTCTCTGCCTGCCTCTCTGCCTACTTATGATCTTTGTCTGTCAAATAAATAAATAAAGTCTTAAAAAAAAAAAGCCACTGCTTTGTATATTCTGTTTTTTGGTGTCCTTTCAGGAGGCAGGGTAAATCTGATTCTTGTCTGTCTTTGCTGAAAGTAGTCCTGATGCCTGCCTGTATTTTGAATCATAGTTAGAAACCTTTCCCCACATTTGGGCTATAGGAAAATTCACCCATTTTTTTTTTTCTGTGTGGTTTAATATTTTATATTTAGATCTATCCAGTTGGACTTTTTTCTTTCATGGTGTGGAGTATGGATGCAGTTTCATCCATGCCCAAATGACTATAGTTCCTCTAACACTCTTCATTAAAAATCAGTGGATTGTTATATTGTGTTATAATATCACAGGCCCTCATGATGTGTCATGTAATCATACAAGTCTATTTCTAGACTTTGTGCTCTATTCCACTGACCTATCTCCATCCGTATGCTGACACTGAACCCTTTTAATCATAAAGGTTGTGTTTTAAATCTGGTAGGGATTAGGCCTCCTAAACAGCTTTTTTTTTTTTTCCTTTTTTTGAGATTTTCCTAGTTCTTGATTTTTTTCTGCCTTCATATGAACTTTAGTGCCAGCTCACATAGTTCCAGGAAGAAAGCTTTTGGTATTTTTGTTGGGATCACATATCTGTTAAGTAATTGAGGGCAGACTGATTTATATCTTAGTGTTCCTGAGTTGACCCATCCAGGAACAAAGAGCATCATTCCTTTTTTTCAGGTGTGCTTCTGTGCCTTTCAGGAGTGTTTTAAAGTTTTCCTAATACAGATTTTGTACATTTCTTGTTAACAGTTTTATCTTTTCTGTTACTCCATAAACTGTGTATATGCTTGAATTATATCTGCTTAGTCTATTAATGTAACAAGGGCTGTTGGGTTTGTTTGAGTTTTTTTTTAATAATTTTCTTTTTCTTTCTTCCTTTCTTTTGTGTAAGTTTATTTAAGTCTACACCCAACGTGGGGCTCAAACTCACGATCCTGGGATCAAGAGTTGCACATTCTTGGGGTGCCTGGGTGGCTCAGTGGGTTAAAGCCTCTGCCTTCAGCTCAGGTCATGATCCCAGGGTCCTGGGATGGAGCCCCGCATCGGGCTCTCTGCTCGGCAGGGAGCCTGCTTTCCTTCGTCTCTCGCTGCCTGCCTCTCTGCCTGCTTGTGATCTCTGTCAGATGGATAAATAAAATCTTAAAAAAAAAAAAAAAAAAAAAGAGTTGCACATTCTTCCAACTGAGCCAGCCAGGCTCCCCCAGGCCTGTTGCTTTGTATGTCCTGATTTTATGTAACGCTGTTCTTTCATTGAGTTGGTTTTGTTGTTGATTCTCTTGAGTTTGGGGGTATAGTATATCCCTTGCAAATAGAAATAGTTTTACTCTCTCTGTTGATTAGTATGCCTCTAGTTGTTTTCTCCAGCTGGAGGCAGTGAACATTTTGCCTCGTTCCTGATCTTACTGGGATTGTCTCTTATGTTTGTCCATTAGGTAAAACCTTGACTTGAGAACCGAGAAGACTGTGTAAACATGCCCGTGCCTGTGCAGCTGTGTCTGTATAACTTAAAATGCACGTGTGTGCTTGCCTGTGATTCAGATTGTACATGTATCACACATGCTCTGTGTATTAGGGTATGAGAGTGTGTGCGTATACACACATTCATGCTAGTGAAGTATCCACTCCTATTTTCTTGAGGGTTTTTTAAATCAGGTATGTATTTTGAACATTGTCAGAGGCTTTTTCAGCATCTTGTGGCGATAAAAGTGTTTTCTTAACCATATTAGAATAGCCTATTACATTAATGGATTTCCAAAGATTGAAGGAGTCCATATTCTTGGCATAAGCACCACTTAGAGATCATATATTATTTTTTTCATTCTGGTGTTGGATTCTGTTTGCTAACATCTCGTTTTGGATGTTGTTGTTGATACAAGTGGTATCAAGCCGTCGTACTGATTGCGTGGTCAATCTTCTGACCCCTCCCGTCCTTGCCTTGTGGACTCACTGAACCCAAAAAGTTGTGACTCTCCATGGCAGTTCATCAGCTCACTTGGCCCAGATCGACTACAGTGTCCTGCTCTGGATTCTCCCGTCAGCTCAACTCCTGCAGTCTCGTGCAATCTCGGCTGTGGCACCTACGTCATGGGTAGAAAACCCTGTGTTGATACATGTTTTGTAAACAGGGTGATGGGATGCGTCTGCTGAGCACTTCTCTTCTGAAACAGGAGTTGCGTGTCGGCAGTCCCGAGCATCACTGCTTGCAGCAGTGGCATCGGAGACCCCCCCCCCTCCCCAGTTGCTGTTTCAGGAGGCTCCGGCATCCCCGTGGCCCTTGCTTGCTTCCAGCAGAGGATATCTTGAACATTTTGAGGAAATATTTCCTTTGATAATCAGTTGTCCTGCTTTCCTGCAAGAATCTAATGTCTGGAGGCTGAAATGATAGCTTGGTTTGATGTACAGTTCTGGGTTCGAAATTCTTTTTCTTTCACAAGCCGTGGACAGTTGTCTAAGGGTTTTTCTCAGGTGAGAAGTAGAATGGCAGGTTCCAGGGTCAGTGGTGTTTTTTCTCCCCACCTGTAACTTTTTAGGCATTTTTTTCCTCCAGTTTTTTGGTGTGGGGCATTTCATTGGGAAATTATTAGATCTGTATTTTCCCCCCAGTATTCTTGTTTGCAAATTGAATGACCCCTTGGGACATGAAGGCTTATGTGATTCTTCAGCTCACGTATCATTTTTCGTTCTGCCTTTGATTCTTTGTGTTTGTCCTTCTTGTTTTCTCTTTCTGAAAATGGAATCTGTGCGATCTGGCTTTTGTATCTCAAGCTTTATTTCATCATTTCAATTTCTTGTTATCGGAGACGGTTCCTAAGATGTATATTCTGTGTCCCATTTGTTACTTAAGCCTCTTACTTGGGGGGGTTTTAAAAAAAATTCAACAATTTGATCTTTAATTTCTAAGTAATCTCTGCTGGCTATTTTGGGGAGAATGTTCTCATTTTTTGGAAACCGCATCCTGCTAAATTTATTGAAAAATACAGATCAGTAGAAGTTGTTTCCTTTATGAAATTGATTCTGTCATAGTTTAGCTGCTCACCTTGATGCTTATCTTTAATTTACACCGTTTTTCTCAATTAGCTGATGATTCTTGATTTTTTTAAATTTCCGTTTTTGAGAGAGGAATTCCTGGTAGCTAGCGTGACTATACTTAACTAATGATCCCATTTCACTTTTTTCTTTATGGAGGGGATGACTGCAGAGCTCTAGAAGTTACTGGATTAGGGAAATGGAGGTAGACACCACTTCAGTTTTTTCCTCCATTTTTTTTATTTTAATAAATTACATGTAACATGAAATTTACCATTTTAACTTTTAAAAACATACAGCTCACGGGCATGAAGTACGTTCATGTGCTTGTGCAACCACCACCAACCATCCGTCTCGAGAACACTTCTCATCTTGTAAAACCGAAGCTCTGTCCCCATTACAGAGTAACACCTCACCTCCCCCTGCCCCTGCAAGTGTTGTCCTCTCTGTCACTCTGATTGTGACTGTTCTTGGCACCTAAGTGGACTCATCCTGTGTTTGTCTTTTTGTCACTGGTTTGTTTCGCTGAGCATCCTGTCTTCAGAGTCCATCCATGTTGGAACAGATGCCAGAATCTTCTTTTTAAGGCCGAATATTGCTCCCATTGTACATGTGGCCTGCATTCTGCTTGTCTCTTTATCTGTCAATGGACACTTGGGTCACTTTTGCATTTTCGCTGTTGGGAGTGATGCAGCGATGAGCGTGGGTACATAAATTCCTCTCTAAGACCCTACTTTCGGTTCTTTTAAGTGTGTCCCCAAAAGTGGACTTGCTGGATCATATGGGAAATTAATGCCAGATTTATTTTTAATTTTTGAGGAGCTCTCCTGGCTGCAGTGGCTGCCGCAGTTTGCATTCCAGTGACAGTGCACGAGGGTTCTTATTTCTCCAGCATGTGTTATTTCTAGGCATTTTGGTAGTAGCCATGCTAAGGGACGGGAGGTGGTAACTCACTGTGGCTTTGATTTGATTTCCCTAATGGCTGGTGACATTGATCATCTTCCCACGTGCTCCTTGGACACGTGTGTGTCGTCTTTGAGAAATGTCTGTTCCATTCCTTGGCCCATTTTGAATCATGTTGGTTTCTGTTGTTCGGTGGGTTTGAAGAGTTCTCTCTGTATTCTAGTATGAGGCTTTACCAGAGACATGATTGGCATATATTTCCCCCATCCTGTAGGTTGCCTTTTTCTTCATGGACAGTGTCTTTTTCATACCTCTGCATCTTTCCCCCTTAATCCTGTGGCCTACCGGCTGCATCTGTGAACCCTAACCTGGCAGCATAAGATTCAGAGTCTGTTTAACTGCTCTCTGTGTGGGCGCTCTGACCTCTTGGGCGTCCGTCAGTGCAAGTTACTGCTGTGAGAGTGAGGTGTTTGTAGATGTAGTGTTTGGCCCAAAACTCGGAGGAGGTAGAAGCCCTAGTCATGCAGGTCACTGCAGCTAAAAGTCCAAGATGAAAGAGATGAACAGGAAGGCAGAAACCAGCGACTGAGTGACGTGGGCGCCCCCAAGCCACGGTGGGGTGGGAGGTCGAGAGACAGAGTGCATGTTTATTTCCATGGTGTTGCCCTCCCAGGCCGGAAGCTTTCTGAGAGCAGGGGTGGTGTCTTACTCATCTCACATACCCCAGAACTCGGTTCCGTTGCAACACAGGACCTCAGTTGGTTTTCAGGTTTCAGGGTTTGGTTATTTTAGGGAGCACGTGAAAGAACCCAAAGGCCGTGTGTTTCCCCTCAGGTTTGATTTCGTTTCATAACCTGTAACACCCGGTCAGGTTTTCAGCGTTCCCGGTTCACTCTCTCTGTGAGCTCAGTAAGGTCCCTGGCCCGCACACCTCCTCCGCCTGACCAGTTCCAATCTGGTGCCATTGTAGGGGCCAGTGTCATTCAGGGACGTGGCCGTGGACTTCACCCAGGAGGAGTGGCAGCAGCTGGAGCCTGATGAGAAGACCACGTACCGGGATGTGATGCTGGAGAACTACAGCCATCTCGTCTCCGTGGGTGAGGAGAGCTTGCTTGTGGGTCGCTGCCCCGCGGGTGGGGGTTGGGGTGGAGGGACTGCCCATGTCGTGATTTTTCCTCAAGTTTGAAGAAACAAGTAGTAGCACCATCTAACTCCCCTCGGCACCAGGCTGGGTATTCATATGTCGGCCTCTCCATCGAAACGTTCGGATTTTGCGAAGGTGCAAAACCAGCCACGTTTTATCCTGCAGCCTCTGAGGCAGCACCTTGGACTCAGAGATTGGAGAGCGGATCAGCTGGTCCAAGTCTGCCTCCGTGTCTCCCTCACAGGCTACGACAGCACCAAGCCCAAAGTGATCCTCAAGTTGGAGCAGGGAGAGGAGCCATGGGTAGCCGAAGGTGAAGTGCCGTGTCAGAGTCAGCCAGGTAGGTTAGGACATGGTCGACCCACTTCGGGAGGGACTGAGGGCAGCCCTGAGCCGCTGGTGGCCTGGCCACACCTCCAGGCCGCAGATAGCACGCTCCCTCCGGCGCCGTGTGCACACTGCTTTTCGGATTTGACATTTGGTTTACACTTGCGGGCGTTCTCCACGATGGCCAGTGCTGAGGCTCCGGTCACTTCCTCTTCCTGCGTCCTCAGGAGCTCACCCGCCCCCATAGCACAGAATTCCTTTCTTGGCAGGCATTCGGAAGTCTCAGAGAAAAATGAACTTGAGACTTTCCCGTTCGTTCTTTCTGCCTTCCGTTTTCCTTCCTTCCTTGCCATGAGGTGCTTCGGGCTGGTCTCCTGTTTCACCCCTTCCTTTGTGCACTCAGTCACCAAATTCTGCCCCGTCCCTGAGCGGGGGAGGCCGGCTTCCACCTCCAGTCAGTGCATCTGTGCTCTGGTCCGCAGCAGTGAGCACGAGCCCGAAGTTGGTCGCCACGTGATACTGTGGGAAACTGACCCCTGTGCTTCGGAGCCCAAATACAACTCAGACAGCTCGGGGTACAGAGCAACAAGAGCTTCGTTGCTTTGCCGGGCAAAGGAGGCCGCCGCGGGCTGTGGCCTTCACAAATGGCAGGGAAGGGGGTTTCTAGGAAAAGCCAGGATCTGGCCAGTTCGGCAGGAATTGTGTGGATGATGCCAGCCTTGTTAGTTGTTTTCGGGGTGGTGCCAGGTTCCTGAGACCACAGGCTAAGAGAGGTGGTGAGGAAGGTTTGCGGAAGAGAGGGAAAAAGTTATTTTAAAATCGAGCTTCACAGGGCGTCTGGGTGGCTCAGTCGGTTAAGCATCTGCCTTCGGCTCAGGTCATGATCCCAGGGCTCCCTGCTCCGTGGGGAGTCTGCTTCTCCCTCTGACCCTTCCCTCCACTTATGTGCTCATGATCTCTCTCTCACAAAAATAAGTAGGTTTTTTTTTTGTTAAGTTCTTAGTTTATTAATCCTTATGAAAAATCTGCACAACCACCACTGATAGTCACTGTGGAATCTCTGCTCCTGTTGTCCGGTCTCCGGCTCACTGTCGCTAGCACCAACACTGGCTTTTGGCATCCCCCTGACTTTCTTCATTCTGCTCTGGCGCTCCCTTCACTGTTTCCTGGAGGCCTTTTCCTTCTCATACAGGCCACCTCTTGCAATTCTGTGTTTGGGTTCATTTTTTTTTTTTTTCCTGCGTTATCCAAGGAATCCTAAATCATGCCAAACCACTTGTGTTGCTACCACCAAAATTGGTTCTGAATTCAAATACGAAGGTGACAGCTGGTGTGGCCTTGTAGGTTGTGGCTAGTTGTTCCCGAACTACTGGAGCCTTCCCGGGGTGAAGAACATCCGTGATCATTTGTTTCCGCTGACGTAGTTGCTTGCTCGTGAACCTCCTGGTCAGGATAATTACCACATCGTTCATGATGACGGCCCTGCTTCCAGCAGCCTGGGAAGAAAGAGGCTGTTTTCCATTCTTTTGTTTTCTTTGTGTCCCTTAAAAAGATTTATCTTGTCTCAACTTTCAGGCCTTTTTCTTTGTATATGCTCCTCGTGCAAATTGATGTTTAATGCCTATAATCCGTGGACTCTTACCTGACAGAGGCCGGTGCCAGAGGGGTCTCCAGTCCCTTCTTTCTCAGAATGGCTGACAGTCGGCTGCAGACTTCTCCAAACCACCTTGCACATCCTCCCCACTTCTGTTGTTTAGTACATCGGACTGGTCTTCTCTCCCCTGGTTCCTGTTTCTTATCTCCTGTGAAATGCTTTAAATTTTCCTGTATAGTCTTTATTTCTTCGGACATCAGTGTAAAAGATACTTTCTCATACCTGGATTATAGTAAAACCTATTTGGAAATTGCAAAGTCTGTTCATTGGAGACATCCAATTGATTTAACACGAGGCTGACAGATGAGCCCATAATTATTCTGTTTCTTCTGAAATAGATGTTACGTTCTTCTCTCCTCGGGTCCCGTTCAGTATGTGTGATGGTGCCTATCAAAATTCATGTCCCGTTTCCCCAGACTCTTGTTAAATTCCGTTTGGTCTAGATCTCCAGGCTATCCTAGCTCTTCTCTGTGTGTGCTTTTCTTACCCAAATTAGACGTTTTCCTTCCTTCCTCTTAAAATTGTAGTTATAAGAAGATAACAATATATGCCTGAAACTAATATACGGTATGTTGACTGTATTTGAATCTTAGAAATAAGTAAACATTTTTTAAAAACCTACCCCAAAAGAAATACCAAGGCTCAAGAAAACACAAATACATAACAGAATTTACCATTTTAACATTTTTAAGCATACAGTTCATTGGTATTAACTATATGCACATTGTTGTGCAACAGAACCTCTAGAGCTTTATCCTTAAAAGTTCACCTCTTATTTACACTTTCCATAATTACTGGCTCACCACACTTGTTTCTCCCTTCTCGATATCCATTCCACAGTTACTACGAAAGTTAGATATGATTATATATATGGTACTTCAGCCTCTTTCTCTACCTGAATTATAATTCTCCAAAGGGGAAGGATCTTTTCATTCTGTTTTGGTATGTAATGTGTAGAAGGTACTCTGTAGATTTTTCATGGACTGAGGACCTAGGGAAGAAAGACCTTTATTATCTATATCCATTGAGACATAATTTATCCTCAACTATAGATTTGATCAGATTAGGAACTACTTTAGTTTCTTACCACAGAGAGATTCCAGGAAAACTAGGAAATGTTGCCACACTCTCCGCAGGCACACGGTTTAGTTAGGAAAGGATAACATAGCTGCGTGGACTAGTTTGGATTTCGCTTTCACACAGAGCACTTACACGTTATTTACAACCTTGTGTTAAAGCTGTTTTAAGAATTAAAGGAAGAAGAGCTTTATTTATTTATTTTTAAAAGATTTTATTTATTTATTTATTTGACAGAGAAATCACAAGTAGGGAGAGAGAGGGGTAAGCAGGCTCCCTGCTGAGCAGAGAGCCCCATGTGGGGCTCAATCCCAGGAGCCCCGAAATTTGTAAGAAGCGTAGAAATAAATAAGTTAATACTGCAGGGGCAGTTTTTGACATCTGACATTTAAGGTTTTCTATTAAAACTAAATGAAACCTGCACATATGGGAACTCTTGCTTGTTTTCAGGATTCTGTCAGTGTTATGTCAGGGACGTGACTCGTTTTGTGAAATGTAAGTCAGCAGATTGAAAGAAAACCGATGAACCGTGGTTTCATATCATATATTGTTCTGAGCGATTTGCATGCACTAAGTTGGTCCTTTCCCAGTGATCTGGGCACATTGTAGCCGTGCGAAGCTGCATCACAGTTCAGTAACTTGCTCAAGACCTGGCCAGCAGTGTGTTGGAAGTGGATTTGAATTGAGGTAGCCTCATCTCTACGCTTTCAGCCACCATGCTCTCATGTACACCCAAATGCAGCTCCGGTTCAGTAACTGTCGGAACACTTGCGAGAGCCAATGTTCATGGCTCGGTCTCTTGCCATCTGGTCCCATCTTACATTTCTTTTGGATACTGAGGTGCCTGAACTCTCCCTCCAGGTGAGTGTGAACCAGAGCTGGGGAGTTGGGGCCATGGTGGTAAAGATGTCTTTAAAGATGAGGAGATCGGAATTTTTAGAATGTTTATTTGGTTTACATGCAGAATAGAAAGGCAAAGATTTTGGAAGCATCTGTGCTAGTGAGGATGTCATTATGGTAATCTTTGTGTGCAGCAGTGTCTTACAATTTAATATAAATTGCGATCTCTTACTTCCAATGAAATCCGTACTTAGGTGTTTTCTTTAAATGTTCATGCAGTGATTGCTCTTGTTATCCCACCAGACCGCTGTGCTCACGAGTCCTCCTTAATCTAATGCTTTTTCAGTCACGGTGCCCTCTGCTCATCATTTCTTGGGTTTTTTTTCACCTTTTCTACCAAAGTTTTGAACATATTTGGGAGGTAACAAAGGTACTTGTGTTTGGTGTGAATTTACTCTCCCTTCTTTCTCTAGTACTGGGTCCTGTCCCACACTCATCCCTTCCCTGTGCCTACCCACCCCATTCCTGTGTGTGTGTGTGTGTGTCTTGTCTATCTGTCTGTCTTACATGACACATCAAGGGGAAATGAAGACTATATGCTTGTGATTATTTTTATTTGTGGAGATTGGCTGTAAAGCCAGAGTCAGTTCCTCAGTGGGGCTCCTGAGTACCACTCCCATTTGATACCCGGTGTGTTCAGATTCACAAAGGTTGTTTAATTTTATTCCTTTTTAGAAGAAGTCTGGAAGGCAGATGACCCGATAGAGAGAATCCCAGGAAGTGAAGACGAACGTTCAAGGCAAGCTATTTCTGTCAACAGCAAAACCCCGGTTGAAGAGAGAGAGAATGCATTTGATAAAACATGTAATGTGGAAACAAGCCTTGTTCCTTCAAACGTAACACCTCACACGTGTGTCTCCTGTGGAAAGAATTTAGAGTCTACTTCAGAATTAATTATTAGTGATGGAAGCTATGCGAGAAAGAAACCTGATGAGTGTAGTGAATGCGGGAAGATGTACCACGGAGGGAAACCCTATGAATGTAATCAAAATGGGGAAGGCTATTCTCAAAATGAAGAGAGTATTCTTCAGAAAATTAATATTTTGGAGAAACCCTTTGAATATAATGAATGCATGGAAGCCTTAGACAATGATGCTGTTTTCCTTGCGCATAAGAGAGCTTATATGGGGGAAAAGCCCTATGAGTGGAATGACTCCGGGTCAGACTTCATCCAGATGTCAAATTTTAATGTTTACCAGAGATCACAGATGGAATTAAAGCCTTTTGAATGCACTGAATGTGGGAAATCCTTCTGTAAAAAGTCAAAGTTAATCATCCATCAGAGGGCCCACACAGGAGAAAAACCTTACGAATGTAATGTATGTGGGAAATCCTTCAGCCAAAAGGGGACCTTAACCGTCCATCGGAGATCGCATTTAGAGGAGAAGCCCTATAAATGTAACGAATGTGGGAAAACCTTCTGCCAGAAATTACATCTCACCCAACACCTGAGAACTCATTCAGGTGAGAAGCCCTATGAATGTAATGAGTGTGGGAAAACCTTCTGCCAGAAGACCCATCTCACCCTACACCAGAGGAATCATTCAGGAGAGAGACCCTATCCGTGTAACGAATGTGGAAAATCCTTTTCACGCAAGTCTGCCCTCAGTGACCACCAGAGAACACATACGGGAGAGAAACTTTATAAATGTAACGAATGTGGGAAATCCTACTACCGAAAATCTACCCTCATTACACATCAGAGGACCCACACGGGAGAGAAACCCTATCAGTGCAGTGAGTGTGGGAAGTTCTTCTCTCGGGTGTCGTACCTCACTATACATTATAGAAGTCACTTAGAAGAGAAACCCTATGAATGTAACGAGTGTGGGAAAACCTTCAATTTAAATTCAGCCTTCATTAGACATCGGAAAGTACACACAGATGAGAAACCCCATGAATGTAGTGAATGCGGAAAACTCTCTCAGTTCTCCTATGTCGCTGACCATCCTACGGCTCCTTTAGGAGATAAACCCTATGAATGTAATGAATGTGGGAAAATCTTCCTTGACAGTTCGGCCTTCAGTGGGCACCAGTCACTTCCGAAAGGGGAGAAATCCTATGAATGTAACATCTGTGGAAAATTGTTCTCTGAATTATCGTACTACACTATCCATTACAGGAGTCATTCTGAAGAGAAACCCTATGGATGCAGTGAATGTGGGAAAACCTTCTCCCATAACTCATCCCTCTTTAGACATCAAAGAGTGCACACAGGAGAGAAGCCCTATGAGTGTTACGAGTGTGGGAAGTTCTTCTCTCAGAAATCCTATCTCACCATCCACCACCGGATCCACTCGGGAGAGAAGCCCTATGAATGTAGTAAATGTGGGAAAGTCTTCTCTCGGATGTCAAACCTCACCGTTCACTATAGAAGCCATTCAGGAGAGAAGCCCTACGAATGTAATGAATGTGGAAAAGTCTTTTCTCAGAAGTCATACCTCACTGTACACTATAGGACTCATTCAGGAGAGAAGCCCTACGAATGTAACGAGTGTGGGAAAAAATTCCACCACAGGTCAGCCTTCAATAGCCATCAGAGGATTCACAGGAGAGGGAATGTGAATGTACTGGACGTGGAGAATCTCCTGTGAAGTCAAAACCCTCTTGAGTAGACCGAAATGTAATAGGGAGTCAGATGTCACTGAGAGTTCATGTTTCTGAATGGGGAAAGCCATTTAGGAATTAAACTTATCTCCACCTGATTTCTCACAGAGAAGGATTCCTAGGAATGAAAGCAGCAGCAAAGCCTTCAGCAAAATACTGCAATCCGTTGGGCATGAGATGATTTATACAGGAGTGAAACTTGGTGCATATTTAATATTTATTTTGGAATTTGAATTGTATTTACATATCAGGGAATCATACCAAGGCGAGATCTTCAGAGGGATGAATGTGGGAAAACTATTGTCTTGGAAATTGTTATACTAAAAGCCATATTTCTGACATAAATTCCAATAGGAATTCCAATAGGAAAGCTATCAGAAGCTATCAGCTCTGAATAAATCATTGTATCAAATGAAGTTTTGGAATCACCAGGAGTTTATAATGAGGACTGTAACATTAAACATATATATGGCAGTTCTATCATGTTTTAAAAATGCAGTCCAATAGTAATTCTATGCAAATTGGGATTTGAATTATTTGGGAAAAGGCAGTATTTTGAGTATTAAGGTGGCAAAATGTACTAACACAGGATATGTGTTGTTGGTGAGACGTTTGCTAGGTACCAGGTAGTTAAATACTTTTCTCTTTGTTGGGAGGCATTGACAAATGGATTTTTAACAAATGCCCCATCAATGAAGGCTAAGCGGTGGCTTTTGTAGCATTTTCAACTACATTTGAGCAAAAAGGATTTTAAGACACTCTTTTCATAAACTGTGCATAGATGATTTGGAGTTAAGTCTGTGTCAGTAAAAGAGGGCATCCACACAGCTTATCTATAGAATACACACAGCTCTCGTGCCACTCTGCTTGTCTAATTGTCAGAGTGCGCAGTGTGCTGATATAGCATAATTCAGATACGTCATGTCTTCTTTTATTTGACATGAATACTATGGCATTTTGTGCACTGCCCCTCATTCCCAGTATTTTGGAACAAATACAGGTTTCTAGCAGAGATTTAGTTGATTAACTCAGTGTCCTTTTCCCCCTAATTCCTTGCTGGAAGAGTTTGCTCACCGTTTCTTCACAAGACAGAGTGGATCCTGATTCGTCTAAACCAATCATGATAATCCCATTCCATTGTGAGTAACCTCTTTATAGTGGTCACACGACCCAGTTCACTGGGCCAAGGAATGCAAGGATCATTTAATAATCAAAAATTAATCACTGGACTGCATCAAAGAAACAAGTAATCTAGAATACAGAAAAGTCATTGGTACAGTCAGCATCCGTTAATGTTCTCCATAAACTATAGATTTGAGGGGAACTTCCCTACTTGGACGAAAAGTATCTAAAACTGTAACTACCAGCATACCTAATACCGAAATATTGAAAATTTTCTCCAGGATGAAAAAAAAAAAAAAAGGCTCTCCACCGTCAGTAATTGTATTCGGTATGCTGCAGAAGGACGTAGCCAGGAGAATAAGGGAAGAAAAATAATTAAAGAGCATAAGGATTAGAAAGAAGTAAAACTTTTATCTGCAATTGACATGATTTTGTACTTTGAAAGTTCTGAGGAATGCACAGATAATTGAAATGAATGACTAGGTTTAGCAAACTCCCTGCATATTAAGCTCATTATGCAAAAATAGTTTTTTAATATACCAGCAGTGAACATAAAAAATGAAAAACTTAAAAAGCAATACCACTTACAATAGCATCAAAATTCCTCAAGTGCCTCGAGGGAACATTACCTAACTCCATATTTTCAAGAACTGTTTCTAGAAAAAAAAAATCACAAAACTTGAGAGGGCCATATCTAGTTAATGGATTCCAGGACAGTTTTTAAAAGATCTCAGTTTTCCCCCAAATTAATTCATATATTCAATGCAATCTTAAAAGTCCTACTAAGTTTAATTGAAATTAAACAAACTCTAAAATTCAAATGAAAATTCAGAAGACCAATAATAGTCAAGGCTATCTTCTGAAATAGAGTGAAAGAACTTATATTACCAGGTATCAAGGAAGAGCTGTCATAAAGCCACAGAAATTATTATAATTGGTGCAGAGATAAACAAATTGACCACTGGGACAGAAAAAAGATTCCAGAAACACCCATGTATAATCTAGTCACTTGGTTTTTGCTGAAGATGATAATGCAGTGGGGAGAGGATATTCTTTCTAGTAAATGCTTTGCCAGTTAAATTTAATAATTTAATAGAAAATAGAAGAGTGGGTTGCGATGGATTACAGATCTCAGTATGAAATGTAAAATAATAAAACTTTAAGAAGAGAACTTAGCAGACTGTATGTAACCTTATAATGAGAAAATTTTTCGTTAAGACCCCCCAAGTCACTAAACTATAAAAGCCAGTTAATTTGGAGTTATTAACTTTCTGAAACTTAGGTTTATTAAAAGTACCCCCATTAAGAACACAACTAGGCAAGAAACGGGGGAGAAAATATTTGCAACCTATGTATATGACAGCAGAATTGAGTGTAGAGGAGGGGGTGGTGATGGTTTTTGGAAGGCGCCACTTGGTAAACACTTGGGGCTCTGTGGGCTAGACAGTCTCTGTGAATATGTCTGTTTCAATAAAACTTTATTCACAAACACAGGATTTGACCCAAAGGCCACACTTTCCAACCCTGGATCTAAAATTGAAAAAGAATACAAATCAACAAGAAAAAAATAGAAAAATGGGCAAGAGATTGGGACATCCACTTAACGAAAGAGAATATCCAGATGGCCAGTAAACACGAAAAGGTATGTTATTTTTATTAGTAATCAGGGAAATGCAAAATTAGAACCAGCCCCCCACTGAGATGGTTAAAATGAAAGCATGAAAAAGAATCAAGTTTTGGCAAGGAGGTAAGCAACAGGAAGCCTACTCTGCTTGAGGTGTTGCCAACTAGTATGACCATTTTGGAAAGCTGGCACTTTGAACGTGCGTATACCCTTTTAACCCAAACCTGGCAGATAGGCGCATTTATGTCAACCAAAGGACATACTAAAATACTCATTGCATAAAACTGCACAAACCAGAATTCTCTGAAGGCAGGCATGCAGTAGAATGAACGAACCTAGTGGCATATTTCACTGCAGAAGACTTTTGAGCGTTGAGAACGAGTGAACCTTAAGTATTTGCAGTAGTAGCTTGGTTTCACAGAGCTGAATGACGGAAACCAGACACAGAGGCGCACACACCGTATGACCATCTGTAAAGCATAAGAACAGAAAATCTTTATGCAGTTAGGAATCAGGACAGCGGCTAGCCTTGGGCAAGGCTGAAAACAGTATTTATCTGGTGCTAGTAATACTGTTTCTAAACCTGGGTGCTGAATATCAGTGTTCTCTGCACTTAAGACGAGTGTCTTTCTCTGCATGTATATTGTTTTAAAATCCTGCATCATTTTGTGCAGGAAATATTCTTTAGTTTTAATGGCAACTACAGAGATTTCCTACACTGTGACCTTGAAGCTTAATATAAAGTATATTTTAAGTAAAATATTTGGAAAGGTGACTGGGCCATTACATATTTTGTCATCCTGCCCTTTTGCATATATAAATGGGTCTAAACCACCTCTTCCAATAAAGAACTAACGTGCGTAAACATTTCATAATTTTCTCAAATAATTTTCACATTCTGAACTTGGGATGTGTCTTCAGCATTACCGTCCTAGAGATGACCTTGCTGGGAGGTAAATCCTTGTAACGGTGACTTTGATCTGGTGGGAAGTTGTACTCAGATGCTTTCCACTTCGTTGTTACCAGCACAGATGTGTGTGAAAACTCTGTGACATGAAAAGTAAGAGCGCTTGGCGGGTTGGGGAGGGAAGAGGGTTGGCTGAGCTCAGCGGCCCAGCAAGGAGGATGTTTCAGCGTGGAATGGAGTGGATGGTGTGCACTTGACTTGATTTCCCCTGCCTCATACTAGACAATGCTTGAAGTGTATACTGGCTAAAAGAGCAGTGATCCAGGAGCTGGGGCTTGGCGGTGTGCTTTCCCGGCCGCCAGCTGCCTGTTCGCTCCCTCAATCCACTGGGCTTAACCAAGAGGCATGTCGTCAAGCATGGCCATGACCTCCCTTTCATCCCAGACAGAGCCTGCCTCTTTCATCATGGGATTGCCCCCTCAATCCCCATATCTACTACTGCTCAACTTGGGGTCAGTTAACTTTTCAGATTTTTTTTCTCAAGTCTCTTAACTATGCCAAAGACATGGATATAGACCACTTATAATTACAGAACCTCACCCCGTGCTCTTTACTCCATCCCAAATCATGCCCAGTTCTCTGGTCCGTCCAGCTAAGCCCTTTAAAGAGGGGAGATGTGTGCCCCATTTTACAAGAATGTTACAGTATTCCCCAAATTAAATTACACAAAGGCCCAAAGATGACCACCATGGTAATCATGACAGAAAAGTTTCCCTTTCATATTAAAGAAATCAGATTGCTGTAGTACCTGTTAGACTGGGGAACTAGTTGAATTGTTGACTTGCGAGCAGAGTATGGAGTGAAAATAAGGTCCCAAGATCCTCCAGGGGAAGCAGGACGGTGGTGTCAGCGGAGGAACATGTAGCATCTGGAGACGGCAAAGAAACAGGTGCAAATATCCTGGCATCTGCCGAGCAAGCTCCGCAACTGTTTTCTCCGCGCAGTCAACCAACCTGATGACCATGGAAGAGGAAACCAAGTACTTAGCTCATGACCACCAGACACCCCACAAGCCTGCCAGGACTAGGGAGTAGATGGAACACACAGGCAGATGTTCAGCCCTCCCTCCACCCCATACCACCCAAAGCTAAGCTTTCACAGCAACAGAAGAAAATTGGCAGGATTTAGTGGTTAAAAACGAGGAAAGGGAATCCTTCTGTAGCATGGCTTCTGGGGGGTGGACAAAGGAAATCCACACCAGCTTTCCCAGCTTGGGGGTACACAGGTTCTTCATAAACCCTCACTGGGAAACAGCAGTGTGAGTGGCTTTTCCTGTGGACAAGATTTCAGGAACTCCTGGGAAAAAAGAAGCTCAGGAAAACCAGAACACCACAAACAGCCTGAACTACCACCACTAAGTAAACATCCTCAGAGAACGGAGAGTGTATTGCTAATGTGAGGTAGGAGTAAGTGAAAAAGAGGTGAAATGTTGAGTATGACCAGTAAAAATTCAGGAGTTCAGATGAGCAGGTGACTGATGAGCTGGGAGATACTGTGTGGCAAGAATAAAATGTGCAGTGGGGGGGGGGGGGAAAAGTGGAGGTTTCTGCAAGGTAACAGGAGTCTCCGAAGTGGGGGAGACTCCAGCAGTGCAGAGGAGAAACTGCGTGGTGGGGGGAGTACTTAATTTCACATACTTGGAAAAAAACAAAATGACCTCAAAAAACCAGGGCTCCAAACAGAAAAGATAGGGAATAGCCATGCCTCATCAAGTGAAATGTAAGGATACTGAAGATAAAGTTTTGCAAGTTTCTTTAAAGCGCAATCACGCCAAAGAATAATTTCTGATCTTCCATTTCTGGTCACTGTGATGTAACAGGAACCAGATTTACCCTTCTGACTAAACTGAAAACTTGGACAAAATAAAGTCACGGCCTTGGGACAGTGGGCAGAGGACAGTGATTCCCCTGGGTGCCCGGCATGCTGCCTAGACAGACTTTCCAGCCCACAGTGCGGGAAAGGGCGCCCCAAGTCATTTGGGTGGGCTTTGAGAGTGGACCAGAGGAGAGCCCCCAAACCAGGGCCCTTGCTCTTCGAGTAGAGGCGTGGCTCTGGCCTGGGGTGTGGCCAGGGGGCGGAGGCTTGTCCTGACTCTAGGGGGAAATGGCTAAAGGGCGTGGGCGTGGTTGTGTCTTGGGGGAGTGGCCATAGTAGGACTTGGGTAGTGCATAACAGTGGGTGGGGCATGGCTGCCATGGAGGCGTGATCTTTGTGTGAAGGGTAGAGTGTAACAATAAGTGGGGCGTGGCGATGCCCTGGGGGCGTGGTCGGAGTGGGGAGTAGCTTCGGATGGGGCGTGGCTCCCATTGCAGGAGGAGTTCAAAGCTCTAGGAGCAGCTCAGGAGAGAACCGTCTGGAACTAATAGCCCTTGGTGAGCAGAAGGCCAGTGACAGGGCTGTGGGCGGACCTGAGAGCAACGGGAAGATGGTCAGGCCTATGGGCCGGTGAGGAGTTATTGAGGCTTGGGCTTCAGGGCCGTGCCTCGGGGGTGGTGGGCCTACCACGTGGAAGGGGGAGGGGACAGAAGGGGTCAAATGGGGGTGTTGGTGGAATAGGAGGCAGTGCCTGGACAAAGGGCAGGGCCTCTGACCACCCAGCCCTCACCACCTTGCCAGCAGCCCTGCCTGCCCGGCCATGTGGCGCCTTATGGTCTTGATGCTGCTGCTACTCCCTGTCGTCCCCATTCCCAGCGCCACTGCTGTTCCCATCCCGGATGCCAAAGCCCAGGACAGCCTGCAGGGCCTTCTCCAAGGTTGCAACCCTCTCTCGCTGGGGTTTGGGGAGAGGAAAATGACAGAGAGAAGAGGCGGGGCAGATGGCAAGAGAAGTCAGACACAGAGCAAGGGAGAAACAGATAAAGGGAAGGGGCCTTAGGGACAGAAACATAAAACATGACAGACGAAAGACCGAGATTTAAAAAAAAAAAAAAAAGGAACAAAACGGTGGTAGTGGGGGTGGACTGGTTTGACCCTCCTGGTCAAAGGGTGGACAGGGAAGGGGGTGAAGAGAGAAGGGGCCCAGGCTGGAGAGGACTTGCTGTGGGATATGCACAGCTTCCCCTCTGCCCCAGGGACCTAAGTGCCGCCTCAGGAACTGCCACTGCATAGAGCAGCGGGGAGCAGCCCCCTTTCCAGCTAGCACCAAACAGGCCCTCCTGGAGCCCAACCTGTTCTCCTTCACCAGGTTCTCAAGCTGCAAGAGACAGAGGGACGTGGGCAATCGCAGATCAAGTTACTCACTCCGGCTGTCCTCCTGGGTTATGAGCCCCAAAGTCCCAGAGGCTGGCCTGCGGCTCTGTGAGAAACCTCCACGGCTATAGGCCATCTGCCCCAGTCGTCTTAAAGGGGGCCTGCCCCAAAGGGAGACCTGGGGCCTCCCTCAGTTCCAACAGCCCACCCCCCAGACCCACTCGAGGCTCATCAGCAGCTGTTGGTTCTGGGGGTGGGCATCAGAGCGCTGGCAGGGCATAGACATGTACCCTTACCAGACCCCAGCTCCATTTAGAAATAAAGTCCTTTCTTACAGTCAGCTGTGCTCTTTCCTTTCAGGGCCAGTCCCCAACATCTGGCCAATTAAAAATAATTTCTTCTACATAATTTACAAGCCCCTGTAGCAAGATGATGTGCGATGCTTACCAGAGAGTGTGGCCTGTGTGAGTTTTCAAAAACATTTTGTCGACAAGAATAGATGTTGTTGAGTCCACTGAGTGGTGTCTGGAGGGAACCCCCCCACCACCTCCCTGGAGCTCCAGCTGCAAGCTCCCACTTCAATATTGCCTAGAAGGGTGATCACATTGGACTGTTTAAAAGTATTGGAGTCCTATTGTCCTAATGCTGAAATTGACAGTTAAAACACACTTTGATGAGTTGGTGAAAGAAATGGGTCATTCATAGTGGGGGACATCTACCTCCTTTCAGAGGTAAAGAAGCACTATTCAGTTATGTTTCAAGGTTAAAGTGATGACATATTCCTCTTTGGTTCTGTGTTCTGGGGACTGTGGGTGTGTCTGCGCCATATGGCAACATGGGCATGGCCAGCTGTATTCCAGCCTGTGAGGGTCCTGGCCATTGTCTGTATAAGTCCCTGCTTGATCCAAGCCAGAGGAGCTGACCCACAATGACATCTGCCTTTAGCAGATGGGGAAGCCAGGTGGATATGGTGGCATCAAGAAAGGGGGTAGAGGGCTAAGCTGATGCCAGAGAGGTTAGGACCATGCTGATAGAGTAGGCCTGGCATAAGGCCAGATGGATGGACCAGACTGCAATCATAAACTGGGCTCAGGGGCACCTGGGTGGCTCAGTCAGTTAAGCATCTGACTCTTGATCTCAGCTCAGGTCTTGATCTCAGAGTTTTGAGTTCAAGCCCCACATTGGCCTCCACGCTGGACACGGAGCCTACTTAAAAAAGCAAAACAAAAAACTGGGCTCAGGCAGGGCTCGGGGTGCAGAGCTGGTGGAGGAGCAGCTGCACCAGGGACCCAAGAAAGCATACCTGATGGAGTTATCAACCAGCAAGAAATGACACCCTACTGGTGCAGGGGGAGCCTGGCAGATGGTTGCTGTGCCCCGTTTTCAGGCCACAGTGTGACTTAGTTTGCTCTTTGGCTTGTCTCTGGAACCCCCAGGCCGATGGAACCATCCAGTCAGATGGCAGCTGCTTCTACTAACAAATTCCTATCCAGGACCAACAGGATGTGATATCGGGACCTTCTATATCCTTGGGGCCTGTGCCTCAAATCTCCAGACAGGTTCATCCAGCTGCTGGTTCAGTCTCTGTGCTAGGGCTTTGCTCATGCTCTTCCACTGCCTGGAATGCCATCTCTGTTCTCCTACCCTCAGCCATTAGGATGGGAAAACATGAGTCATCATTACAGAGCTCACAGAAGATACTATGAACATCCTATGCCAGTAAGTTTGAAAATCTGGTTAAAACATAACTTTCTAGAAAACACAACTTACTAAAACTAACACAAGATATGGAATCTATAGTTTACAATCCTCCCATCAAAAAGTCTACAGACTCAGCTCACCAGCAAATCCTCCTTAATGCTTTAGAAAAATATTGATGACAATCTTACATAAATGTCTCTAGAGAATAGAAAATGTGTGTTAGGAAACCAGAATAGCCTTGTTGCAAAACCTGAAAGGTAAATTTTGAGAAAGGACCAATGTCAATTCCATATCTCTCAAAAACACAGATGCGAAGATTTTAAGGTATTAGAATGAATCACCATTTTAAGACAAGTTTGGAAATGGTGACTTAATTAGGTAGAAAAAGCTCAGCCTTGAGTTTCTGGCCATGAGCTGTGTGTGTGTGCCCGTGTGTGCCCGTGTGTGCATGCTTTCAAGAGGAAGGGGAAGCAGGGGGTCTCCATTTCCTTAGCTGTAAAATGAGAACAGTAGCGCCTCCCACAAAAGGGGACTCCCATCCTCTTAGGCTGTCACTTTTGGTCAGCAGTGGGCTTATGAAAAGGTGTTCTAAATGAATTTGTCATCGAAGGCTTGGCATTTATTGATCACAGATCAAACTACCGGCTGAAGTTGTTTACAACTCCTCTGTTGTCTGGCTCTCGAAGGTACACAAAGTTCGTGCGGCAAACCGTCTGTTCACACACCTTAAAGCCTGTGTATGCTTTCTTGTCTTGTGAAAAACGTCTCCTGGTTTCTCCCTACCACACTAGGAAAGAATGTTTGGTCCCGCTTCCTCTCTCTCCCTCTCTCCCTGTTCCTGCCTGTGTTGAGGCTTCATGTGGTCAGCTGCTTGGCACAGTGTGCCTCTGTTTTGGGGGAGCTCCCCATCCTCATCCTTTCAGCCAATCTCCTCCTGCTCTCACCTGGGAGGATGGTGCTCCCTCTTGAACCTGACAGAATCTCTCTGACACAAGGGGCTCCACAGGAAAACATGAGATTTTTTGAAATTCCAATTTATAGGGACAAGTACCAAATTTCCTTTCCAGCAAGTTACACTCACACCAACTGTGTGAGAAAGCCTGTTTCCTCTCATCCTTGTCAGCTTTGGATTCAGAAACATTAAACACTTTTTGGCCAATATTTTTGCAAAAGGAAAATATTGCACTTCATTATTTATTTTCCATTTATTGAATTAAGAGTAAACCTGAGGGGACAGGCACTTCCATGATGGAGGAATAAGGACCTCTGAAAATCTTCTGTTCCATAAAAACAAAACATTGATGAACATAATGGTCATAATCAACTTTTCCAGAACTTTGGAAATCGATTAAAGGCTTGCAACGATTTGCAGAGACTTTATTCAAGAAAAATGGCTGGATATAAGAACAGTGAACTTCAAGCACTTGAATTTGCCTTATTTCCATGCCCCTCTCCCCATCTCTGGGGTCGCCTTGAAAACTGCCTGCTCTAAAACACAGGAGCAGTGAAAAGCAGCAGCCTAGCCGCCACTGGAGGGACCAGATGGGCTGAAACTCCCCAGAAGCTCCATCCCCAGGGAACTGTCAAAACTTGGCCTGTGTGGCAGCTCCCCAGAAAAGCCTCATCTATAGGAACTGTATTTTCCCTGATTGTGAGCTCACTGTGGGAGTAAAGCCCTATCCCCAGGGCATTTGTCAAAACCAATTAGTGGCCTTTTAATCACATTGTAGCTCTCTGGGGTGGTGATACCAGTTGAGGCAAACAAGAGGCTGGCCAAGAACTTAAAAGGAAAACTTGGGGGAAGAGAAGCTCTGACTTAACTCCCCCTTGCCTAGGAGACCATGCACACGCTCGGGAAGTACCATGGACAGCGTTAGTCTCACATCTGCTTGGCCTTGAGTCTCTGAGCAAGCAGAAAGGCTAGTGCAGAATGAGGGTAGCCCCAACACACAAGGGGCCCCTTGACAAAGCCTGGAAGACTTACCAGTTTAAGGCATGTATGGGAAGCTCTGTACAACCATTAGCTGAAAACTAGGATAACTGAGCAAAGGCTTCACACAAAGAATACAGACTTTACAGAATTAGTCAAAGAAAATAACACAACCACAAAGAGCAAAAACTCAGAGGAGGGGGAAGGCAATCCCATTGCCACACTGTTATTTAAAATACCCAGTTTTATGTAAAAGAGAGAGACATGCAAAGAAACAGGAAAGTGTGGCCTATACACATAAAAAAGCAGTCAATAAATACTGGCCGTGAGAAATCCCAGATGTTGGAGTTACTAGACAAAGACTTCAAAGAAGCTATTTTAAATATGTTCAAGTAAATTATAAAATCCATGTCGGTGGGTTTATGAGATATAATTTGTATGATGATAATAGCACATACAAACATGGGGAGAGAAAAAACAGGTATATTGGGGAGTGTTTTTATATACTATTTAAGTTAGGTTGGTATTAATCCAAGCTAGACTGTTTTAAATTAAGATGTTAAATCAGGGGATGCCTGGGTGGTTCAGTTGGTTAAGCGTCTGCCTTTGGCTCAGGTCATGATCCCAAGGTCCTGGGATCCCGCCCTGCTTAGTGGGGAGCCTGCTTCTCCTTCTGCCACTGCTGCTCCCCCTGCTTGTGTTCTCTCTCTCTCTCTCTCTCTCTCGCAAGTAAAATAAAATCTAAAAAAAAAAAAAAAATAAGATGTTAAATCAGAAGACAAGAAATAACAAGTGTTGGCAAGGATGTAGAGGAAAAGGAACCCTCATGTACTATTGGTGGGAATATAAATTGGTGCAGCCAGTATGGAAAAGAGTATGAAGATTCCTCAAAAACTTAAGAACAGAAATATATGATCCAGTATTCCCACTACTGAGTATTTGTCCAAAGAATATGAAAACACTAATTTGAAAAGATATATGCACAGTTCTGTTTTTTTGCAGCATTATTTACAATAGCCAAGATATGGACAATCAAAGTGTCCATCTTCAGATGAATGAATAAAGATGATGAAATCTTGCAAATGGCAAGATTGCAAATGGCAGGATTTCATGGATCTTGAATCCATGGGTGGACCTAGCGGGTATAATGCTAAGTGAAATAAGTCAGAGGAAAACAAACACCATATGATTTCACTCATATGTGGAATTTAAGAAGCAAAACAAATGAACAAGCAATGAAAAATGACAAAACCAGACTCTCAAATACAGAAAACAAACTGGTGGTTGCCAGAGGAGACATGGGTAGGAGAGTAGGAAATAGGTAAAGGGGATTAAGAGGACATTTATCTTGAGGCACATGGGTGGTTTAGTCAGTCAAGCATCTGCCTTTGGCTCAGGTCCTGATCCCAGGAGTCCCACACTGGGCTCTCTGCTCAGTGGGAAGTCTGCTTTTCCCTCTCCATCTGCCCCTCCCCTCTGCTCCTGCTTGTGCTCACTCCCTCTCCCTCACTCTCTCAAAATAAATAAATCTCAAAAAACAAAAAGAAGGTAAGCCCCAAAAATATGTAGTAAAGGAAACAGAATTAAAATGGTACAACTAGAAAACATCTATTAATACAAAAGAGGGCAA